AGCACCGCTACGAGAGAATCATATCAGTAAGGGCGGGGGTTTATCAAGGACGACAGTGGGCTTAGAATGTTACGACTCACCTGCAAACCAAAAAGACTTTCCTTCTTCCTCTGATACAAGCCCAATAAGCATATATGCACATCGCCCGCACATACGTATTCCGTATTTAAACACTACCGGAATGGACTAAACGAAGACATGCACAAAAATTCCTCTACAAACTTGTAACCTTCAACCCCCAAACCCATGCAGAAACCCGGCCGAACCCCAGACTCAGCACCCAAAGACTTCAATCAAGAGAACCATTCTGCAACTATGGTAAGACTGTAATGACTATATAGTTGTCTACACAAAAAAGCCTACAACATCCACACTCCAATCCGCGAACACCTGAACGCTGTAGACCCTAAACCCTTTGAAACCGCGAAGGGGCTAAAAAGTGCCTCCCCCTCCGAATTCTGTTCTGTTCTGAGGCTCCGCACACGACTTGCGGGACAGCTCGTGCCTGTCGCGGTTGAAGGAGGTATGTATGTATAGCGAACTCAAAGTCATAGTACAAGTAAGGGATCCTCTGAACCCTGAAGGCCGAACAAAACTTCACCCCGGCACCCTAAATCCTATGCCCTAGCCCAAACCGCTCGCAGGTTACTTGAAAATAGCAACCAAAGAGCCGAGGACGTCGATAACAAACCCTCCTGGGGGCAGTAGGGGGCAGCTGTACCGCTTGTACGTAACCAAAGATCCTCATGCTTCTATGATGTTGCCGGGCCGCGAACCTTCTATTCACACTAACGTATGTATATACATATATATATATATAGAGAGAGAGAGAGTTATATGTATATACACATATATATATATAGACATATGTAGAGTTTAAGCCCTATGCCGGCTCTCCAAGTCTGTAGATGATGACAGCTTACTTTAGGATCTAAACTCTTACTGCTTCGGGCTGCTTTGTGAACCACCACCAAGCCGTGAACAAGAAAGTGCCTCTTAGGGGCTGAGTACCCTAGTCCAAAAAGGGTTAACTCTTTCAATTAAGGTAGGGTTATAGAAACCCTCAACATGTTAAAGGTTTCCTACTCAGGTACTACTGTAAGGCCTGAACGGGCATGTAGACAGCCGGCTGGATGACCCGCATCGTGACACGCGGTGCGGTTTGTTGAACCTCCTGCGGATTCTTGAGCATTTGTCGGGTGCGGGGTCGAGCGCCTTAGGAATGAAGGATTGAGAGTATAAAGTCTGAGGGCTTCAACAGTCTCGAATCTGAGAGGTTTCGGGGGGGCTTGGGTCCAGGCTTAGACCCCAAGCTCCGCCAGTATTTCTCCCTATCAACATGGGTTCATACCTCCCGTACCAGAAAGGTCAACATGCACTGTACCATTGTGGGATTCGCTACCTCCAGAAGCCACGCACCCCAAATTCCAAGCCATAATTCCTAAATCACCCGGGGCTCCAAACGCTGCACCCCTAAACCACCTGAAATCTCCAATCGAAACTCCAAGCTCCTTAGCACCCGGAGCCCTGTGTTGCTGTCGCGCTGTCGTAATGAGAGCTCAGCACTCACGTGCTCCGTCTCTGACGGAACACCCGACGAATAATCGCTGCGCAAGGAAGCAGAAGGACTTCGAGTGAGAGACGGTGCTATTACAGAGTTTAGGGTTTAGGGTTTCGGGTTTTAGGGTTTTCGGGTTTAGGGTTTAGGGTTCGGGGGTAATTAGCAGTCCAAAGAAAAGACTACAATAAAAGTGGAAGTTCAATACGGCATACCTATGTATACACATGTACTGGTCTTAGCTATAGGTCCTAGGTCATGTATGAGCATGGTTACAGACAACTGAAACAAGGTTCATGTATGATAAGTTGGTATGCACATGTACAAGTATACACCTACATGCGTACATAATTACATAGGGTCAACGTCGAAAAGTTGGAAGCTGGGAAATGAAACTGTTGGTCCGGAACCGGATCTTCCAACTTGTTACGTTTGTTGCTACAGAAGGCTTGCGCACTCGCGGCTGTATACATACACGTGTATATGGGTAGTTTTCTAAATTAGGATCGGCTTTTAGGTACCCACTATAGTACGGCACCCTTATGAAAAGGACCCCCCAAAGGGACCCTAATTTAGAGAACTACCCATATGTACACGTGCATAACCTTGAATCTCGTAACTATGAGTCTTTTCATACCGCATACAAGTACCCCTCGTCGAAGTGCATGACCTTGGTCACAGATATTCGTTTCATTCTGTCCTGAAGCCTCAGACTCCCTAGACTCCAAACCTTACCCTCTAATGTCTACACAGTATTGCTTCCGTAATGCGGCCGCAGGCTTCTCCTCTTAGCCTTCCAAGCACCAACATGCTTGCGGTACTATCGAAGGGCATCTTAACACTAAAGGAACCCCATGTTGGGCGGTGCTGAGCGTATCTTACGGCACCGGCTACGCCGGCTACTGTGGGTTTTACGTTCGGGTCTTGGATTTGCAAACACGTCCAGCGTGTTCCTAGGTTTCGGGTTCACGGTATTGGCTTTAGATTGAGGTTGCGGACTTGGAGTTCAGGGTCCTAGCTCCCGAGTGCCCCATAAGACTTACGGGAATCCTAGTCCCTACTATGCAGTTTTGAAGCGCCGCCCGAAAACAGGGAAAGAACCAAAAACGTACTATTGCGGAACTACCGGGTTTTAGGGGAAACTTGAATGCCTGCCTGTAGTTGGTGAAAGGGTACTATTCGGGAACTACAAGACTTCTAGGAGAAACATGAATGCCGTCCTGTAGTTGCAGAAACCGTGCAGTCGGTATCCCTTCTGGCTTCGCTTGCTGTTTAACAGGAGCTGGCCTGAGTCGGAAGTCGCGCCCGAGTCCAGAACATCTAATTACGGTGTGCATCTTTCGTCCACGAGCCTGTAAGTTTAAATAGTAGTGTAGAGACACCCGTTATAAACCCCGTTCATATCAAGGATTCTCAAAGGCATCCTGATATATCTCATGTGATTTCAGGTCCTCCCACAAAACCAAAACAAGCACAGTGAATGCGTTGTTCGATCAACGTCAAGGTGTATGAGAGCTGTAAGTATCCTGATGTGAAGGTCTCTAAGGGAGCCTTAATTAGCAGGATAGGGCTTTGCACATCACAGTTTATTCAAACGAGGGACGATGAGGGCATACTATTGCTAACTATTCCTACAACCCCCTTTCTTAAAACAACATACAAGCACCCTAAACCTTAAACCCTGAACCCTAAACAATGAAGCTGCGTTGGACATCCACGACACCTCCCGTGCGACTTAGTGCCGTATGCCTGGACTCACGACCCTAAACCCTAAAGCCGAAAGAGACCCTAAACATCAAGCTATGCAAGACCGCAAAGTCCACTGCCGTACTCGGCCCGAAATTCTGACCCCACAAGGCAACTGCCATCAACTACAGGTCCAAACCATAAAATTGTATACTGCCCATTACCCAACAGCCCAAAGCAGCTGATGAAGAGCCCTCAACCCAAACACGCCAAACGCACGCCGCGCGATCCCGAAAAAGAAGACCAGGACGAAGGGATGCATCGCAGCAATATTCCCCATGTTGGTGCGAGGTGTGTGCTTTTATCAAGGCTACATGCGGGGTCAAGAAACCTACGATCAGGGCTTCATTTATCTGCCCCGCTGCTGGAAATCTGCTTACTTATAACCTGTTCAGGGTGTACACAGGAAGACCTGGTGCTCTGTGATTTCTTGAGATCAGGGAAACCCTAAACCCCTAAACCCCAAATCCTTAACCCCTAAACCACTAAACCATTGACCCCTAGACCCTAAACCCCAAACCCCTAAAACGAATGATAACCTGTTGGGAATTGGGACTTCAATCTCTCGCTTCTTGGGACGGATTAAGCCCTTGTGCCCACAGGAGCTTGCAGCCGTTAGGTCCGATACATACCTGTGGATCCAAGAACCTACCGTTTTAAGGGTTAGACCCTCTAATTAAGGGGTCATAACCTACTATTTTGTAGGGTTTGGGGATACAGGTATGCCCTATCTGTTTTGTTGTATAGGAACTGCAACCATTTTACCAGTAAAAGTTGAACTGAGTTCTGGGGTATGTATTGTGTAGTAAGGAGCCATGGTAAAGAATAGTAAGTATTCAGGCTTCCAAGAATATATGATACATTTATATATATATATACATATTTACATACATACATGCATGCATACATACATACATACATACATACGTACATACATACATACATACATACATAAATATAAATATAAATATATATATATATACACACTACTTACTTGAAATGCCATGGCATTTCCGCGACTTTTCCGCTTGATCGATGCATCCCGGAACGCTGCAGAGATTTCTTGGAAATCTGCTTGCATCACTGCTCAGGCTCTCCAACTAAACAATCTGACTCAAACCCTGCATAACTGCCCCCCCCCAACCCTAAAACCTACGCAAACCTTGATCCCTATACCCTAAAGCCCTAAACCCCGTCCGTGGAACTGACTGGTTAAACCCTGTAAGTCGTGTAGGACTGTCTGTTTCCAAACAAATTACAGGCAGCCTCTGCAGTTGCTATGATACACTTGAACCCTGCAAGCCCTTCAAGCCAATGAGCCCTGCCAAGCCGACATGCCTTGCTTGAAATTTTTGCTCTAAACCCAGTTTTATGGACCTGCCAAAAAGCAAGTTCTGGAAGGTTAGGGCAAACTCTATAGGCCCCAAGCCCGTAACGAAACTGTGAGTTGACAAGAAATACTTACTATTCCTTAGGCCTCCTGATTCCACAGCTATAGAGAAACATACTCAAAAACCTTAACCCTAAACCCTAAACCCCAAACTCTAAACCCTAAATCCCAAACCCTAAACCCTAAAACCCTAAACCCTACTAACCTAAACCCTAACAACCTACTAACCTAAACCCTGAAACCCTAAACCCTACGCCCCAAACCCTAGACCATACATAGACTCTGAGCCCCAAACCAAATAAAAATCTACGAGCCGTCAGGCTTTGGGCTTGCCATCGTCGGAGCGGGAACGGGAACCTTCCCAAATAGGTTTGGGGTTTAGCGTTTTAGGGTTTAGGTTAGTAGGGTTTTAGGGTTTAGGTTAGCAGGGTTTTCGGGTTTAGGGTTTTAAGGCTTTAGGGTTTAGGTTAGAAGGGTTTTAGGGTTTAGGTTAATAGGGTTTTAGGGTTTAGGTTAGTGGGATTTTAGGGTTTAGGTTAGCATGGCTTTAGGGTTTGGATTAGTAGGGTTTTAGGGTTTGGGGTTGAGGGTTTTAGGTTTTAGGGTTTAGGGTTTTAGGTTTTAGGGTTTTAGGGTTTAGGGTTTAGGGTAAGGATTAGAAATCCCCAAGGAAGAATCTACGGTTCGCATCTTAACTCGGAGATCGAAGGGAGAATCTCCCTTCGATCTCCGAGTTCTGAGAAGCTCCAAGGGGTCAGATTTTCGGGCAACGTCGAGACAAGGGTGTAGGGTTTCGGGTTATTTAAGGGCTTACGGTTGGGAGAGGTTAGTACTGCGCTTCGTGGGCTTGGCAAGTCAATGAAACTCCGTATAAGAAGCAGATTTAAGCCAATCATTCAGCCTCCTGTCTTGCTAAAGGCCATGCCGGTACCCTCATAACCTCAGCCACAAGCCATGCCAAGTCCGAGGGATCGTCTGGTCTCGTGGCTCCCATCAGCAAGGTCAGGATGGACTGCCACCAAACCGAAACTTAGCTAGCTCGACTTCTTTCTGGGTGTCCCAGGCATGGATAATGAAGCTCTGCCTTGGTCCCTAAATATCTCGCGCTCTTCTGCCTCTCCAGCTCCTACCCATAGACCCGGCCACTGCCGGGAAGCCATGTTTGGGCTGTCAGCCCTTACTCCTCCGACGCTCTTTCAAGTGGGGTGAGCTAAACCCTCAACCCCAAACCCGAACCGCCAAACCATAATCCGTAAACCCGAAAACCCAAACCCTAAACCCCAAACTCTAAACCCGCAAAACCCTAAACCCCCAAACCCCGAAACCCTAAACCCCCAAAACCCAAACCCCAAACCCCAAGCCCACTTCAGTCTTGAATACTCGTGCACCAAGAAGAAGCTCCGAATCTCGGAGCCCCGTGAAGCTCAAAGCCTGCATTTATTGTGTGAAGGCCGTGGGTAAGATCGAAATTGAAACCCTAAACCCTAAACTCTTAACCCTCGTTTGTTTAGGGCTTTGGGTTTAAGTTTGGGGCTTTTATTCAGGTGTGAGGAACGGCATGGGAGGGTTCGGTTAGGGTTTCTGGCGTACGGCTCGGGTCTCGTTAGTCGTTTGTTTAGGGAGGTGGCAGGGAGCCTAAACCCGAAACCCTCAACCTTAAACCTTAAGGGAGCCCAACTGTGAAATCCCCTTGTGCGCTTGCCTTGGGTTGGCTGAAGACGCTTCGTCCCCAGGACTTTGCGTAGGCATTGCCAAATTCGACCACGTCGCAGCTGCCTTTCGGTCGTGGCGTAGGGTTAAAGGCTCCGTCTTGAGGAACTTACCGTGGGGATATGTAGTAAACAGGGTAGCAAACACCATGACTATAACCTCCTGGGTATGGGAGAAGAATGAATTTTTCGTTGACCATAATACTGTTTGCTGGGCACTCCTCCGCTGTGTTGTAGCCTGCGTTTTTTTTTCACAGAGTTCAGGCTTGAGGGCTTGCTTGGGTTCTGAATAAAACTCTCTGTGGATTCATAGTTTCTTCGGTTCAGAGTCGATTTCACTCTCCTTAACCCCCTAAAGAAGGCCTAAGTGAGCCCAACAACCGTAAAGCCTAGACCCAAAGCCCTCAACCAAGCCCTTCACCCAAAAGCCTATTGGACCCTAAACCGCGATAGCCGATAGCCTAATGTCGGGGGGCCTCATTTACTGGGAATACGTAGGGTTGGGGGGGTGTGCTGGAGTGTAAACAAACAAGGACATGGACTTGGCCATTCTTGAGGCTTCCATATTAGGCCCAAAGCACGGAAGCACGGATACCTCCGACCCATCGGGTTCTTATCGCGAACGAGCCATCATCTCTAAACTCTAGAAGGCCTACACCCGCAGCCCACCCCCCGCACCACCCATTAACATGGGGGCTCCGGGGTATAAACTGAGCCCAGGTTTTCTATAAATGGCTTTGAAAGGGTGTAGGGGTTTAAAGTTTCAAAACTCCAATCTTTCGGATTGAGCCGTAGGCAACAAGCCTGCAGAATCTATAGGACACGAGTAGGTTCCTGAGTGAGCCCTTATCCAAGTCCCAAAGCCCGTGAGCCCAAAGCCTTGGGCCCGAACTCCCTGCTTGCTAAAGCTACTGTAGGGGCCTTAATAATTAGAATAGGGGTTTTGGGGTCCGTTATAATATTTTAATAAGAAGGAACCCCCAAAATAATGTATATAAGTAACTATTGATGCCCCTATATTGAGCTCCCCCGGCCCCGGCCTTTCGGCTTGAACCAAGGATGGCCCGGCTTGTTTAGGAAGACGCGGCTCCGATCTGCGGCTTGGGCAACGCGCCCCTCCTGTGGACTGTCTGGCTTCGGGTTCACGGCTTGCAGAGTTTCTAAGATTTATATATAGGGCTTTTTTTTTGCCTTTGCTTTGAGGGTTGCTAGTGCTGTATAGCGCGCCTTGAATTCGCGCACGCACCCGGCTATATAGGGCTTATAGGGTCTATAGGGCCTATGTGGTTTTGGGCTCAGGGCTTTGTAGGCTTAGTGCTGAGGTTCGTGGGCTTGCCTGCTCAGGGCCTATAGGGCTTATGTGGCTTAGGGATAGAAGGCTGATGCGGCTTAAAGCTTAGGGCTTAGAGGGTTCAGGGCTTAGGGTTCGGGCGGGGTTCGGTCTCACGGCTTAGGGCTGAACGGGTTTCGGGTTTGAGGCTTATTGGGTTTGGGAGTTTCGGGTTTGGGGTCAAGGCTTACCGGGTTTACTTGTTAAAAGGTTCAGGGTTTAGGGTTTAGGTTTAGGGTTTAGGGTTTAGGGTTTTTCTGAGGGGAAGGTTTTGCAAGTTCTTGTGCTGTCGATCCCCTTCGGGATTTCTTGTGGCACTCCGCTGTGAAACAAAAGTCGGGCTTGACGTATGTAGTGTACACATTACACTAGCATGTCATGCTTTGTTGATCGAGGCCCTTCCAGCTGGCAAATCGTAGCTTGTTGCTGTTCAAAAGCCTAATTGCTCCCTAAGCCCTAAGCTGAAGCAATCTTTAGACCCTACCAAAATGGCACCCTGAGACCCCGAAACCCGAAGCCCTAACCCCTAAAAACCCTCAACCCTAAACCGTAAAACACCAAAAACCTACACACAACCCGAAACTCGCATCGCAGCTTTTTCTTCACTGGCGGCTCGTCCGCTGGCGAGGACTCTTCCTCGCTGTCGGCCGACTCCAAGCGGGACCTGTTGTTGGACAGAACTTGAAACTGCCAAGCCAACCTGCCAGAGAGACTTCGGCTTAGAGCTTTTTGCGTTTAGGGTACCGGCGCCTGAGTAGTTGGACTCGGGTTCAAAGCTTGGGGCTTACCAGCTAGACTTCATGGTCTTCGACTTGATCTAGTTCAGTTACTAAGACATGTGACTCAGGAGTTAGGACATGCAGTTTGAATTGGGATGTAGGATGCTGAGGTCCGGGCGCTAGGCTTGGGGTTCGGCAACTTTGGTTCGGGAGTCACGAAGCAATGCCAAACCAATGGCTCTTCCGAGGCTGTCGCCGCCTGAACCTACACCCTGAACCACGTAGCACGGGGGCCCTAAACAATCAAACTCAGGAAGTCGCAAGGAACTATTCTGAGATGGGGCACCCTGAACTCTACTTACACTTCAAACCCCAGGACGCATTTGCTAGACCCCAAGACAACCCCCGACTCGGTAACTTTCGACAGCCCCTGTTCCCAATCCCTACACCCAGAAACATTCCTCAAACCCCAATCATCGAAGTCATAAATCCCACATCCCTTCCTTGCCTTTTTTGAACACCAATATGAACAACACTTCCTTGGACAAATCTTGAGAAAAGTTCACTGAAGCCTGCATGCATGCTAAACTTGTAACCCGACACAAGGACGGGCCCCCAACACATTCGCTACAACTCCGACCCGACATAGTCGGATCTTGAACAGAAGGACTCCTATGCTAACTACTCCACGACGGAAACAAGGGCCCTTAAACCCAAAACATCTCAACCGAAAAACCTCAAACCCCTGAATCCCTCAACCCTAAGCCCCGAAACCAAAAAAATCCCAAACCCCTTACTCCTGAACCCTCAGCCCCTGAACCGAAAAATCCCAAACCCCTTAATCCCTAAACCCAAAGCCCCCAAACCGAAAAACACCAAACCCCGGAACCCCTGAACCCTAAGCCGAAAAAACCTTAAACCGGTTACTCCTAAACCCTAAACCCTCAAACCCTAAACCCCTAAACCCTAAACCCCTAAACCCTAAACCCTCAAACCCTCAAACCCTCAACCCCTAAACCCTAAACCCTAAATCCCTACACCCTAAGCCCTGCCCGGGCCTGGGATTGGGCGCCAAGCCTCCGCCGCCGAGCTCGTAAAGATGCGCCAAAGCCCGGAGGATCTCAGACTGTTCCTCGCAGCGGGCGTTTAAAGAGGGCCTGGGTTTAGGGTTTAGGGTTTAGGGTTTAGGGTTTAGGGGTTTAGGGTTTAGGGTTTAGGGTTTAGGGTTTAGGGTTTAGCGTTTAGGGCCTGGGTTTAGGGTTTAGGGTTTAGGGGGTTCGGGTTTAGGGGTTTAGGGACATTGGGACATAGGGATAAGGGTTTTGATATTTGGGGTTTGGGGGGTTTGGGGTTTTAGGGTCTAGGGACTCAAGGGGTAGGAGGATTATGGTTTAGGAGTTTAGGAGTTGAAGGTCTCGGAGTTTCGGGCTTTAGGGTTTAGTTTCGGGTTCAGGGCTTAGGGTTTACAGTACAGGTTCTAGAAAGGCTTCTGGAGCTTTAATGCTGTTACTGGCTTCTGCGTAAGTTCACAGGGGAATATCGAGGTGTCTGCTTTCGTTGGAAGCCTAAACCCTCAACCTAAGTTACATTGAAAGTAGCTCTGTTTGCTTCAGCCCCTGAACCCTCAAGCCTGCAGCGTTGACCCCAAGGACTGAACCCAAAAACACCTACATGTGTAATTAGGGTGTTCTTATTATGTTCTTTAGTATATATGATATAAGTCCTTAAAAAGACGTAGACTATTTTTTAATTGTATTGGGATAAAGTGAACCCTAAACCCTAACTCCACTGTTGCCTCATGTTGCCGCCCGGTCACTTGCGATCCGCCGGGCAGTCGTTCAGCTTCGCGGTCCTCCTCCTTGGTAGGGTTTAGGGTTTCGGGCATTCGGGTTTAGGGTTTGGGATTTAGGGTTTAGGGCTCAGGGCTCTTCTTGGGGTTTAGGCTCGCTTAGGCTTTAGGGCTTCGGGCCCCTACTTGTGTTTAGAGCAGTGTCGGGTTTAGGGTGTAGGGCCCATATGGGTCTAGGAGTCATAGGGTCGAATAGGAACCCTGGGCACTCCACTGCCTCTTGAGAAGCTTTGGCCGCCTCGGATAAAGAGACATAAAATACAAAGTCTCTGGGCTCATCTAGTTGTAGATACATATACTTGAAGATTCGCAACCAAATATATATATATATATATACCGACAAGTAAGAAGGGTATAACTCGCAGAGTTGTTTGCGCACATATACACATGTAGATATGTATGTGTATGTATGTATATACATATGTCTACATACAGTGCGCTTTCCAGAGTTCGTGCTAGACCCGGGGTTTCGGATTCAGACCTCCTAGTGGCGGGCTGGAGGTCGTCGGAAGCGTAGAAGTGAACGGCGGCACAGAGACCACCATCATTGATCCTAGAGACGATCTCGCATGTCTCTAGTGGGTCATGACGACCTACTGTCTTGTGCAGTTTCCAAACCCGACATGAAGCTGCTATGTAAGACCCGAAACAAGGGGTGCCCGAAAGGAGACTTGGTATCGAGATCGCCGCTCAACCCTAAACTCTCCAACAAATCAGAGTCTGATTTGCGAAGGATTGGCATCACCCCAAATGTGCCGCCAAGTCTCCGTGTCATCCTCCTGCCTCAAAACAGTGCGGTTTTAGCACAGAGAGGTCATTGGCTCAGAATGGCGCAGGCATGCTCAGGCCTTCACAGGCTCAGTATGGAATGCAGCAGGGTTACACAAGTATACTTCCACATGGGGCGAGGTTGAACCAGTACAACCCAACCGTGCACACTCACAACGCCAGGGTCCCAAAGCCAAGAATGTCCCGAATGCCTCAACCCTGAGGTCTCTACGTGTCTTGCCTCACAGGGTTTCAGTGTTCTATGCTTTGAGAGTCAATTGCTTCAGGGTCCTTCGTCGCAGAACCGCGGCTAGGGGCTCCACCCCTTTAGAGCTACGGAGGACTCCTGATAGCTACGGAGACTGCGATCCCGGACTCGAGGCCTTGCGCCTTTCCACATTCGGAAGACTCTGTCCGTCAGCAGTGCTTTGCTGTGCACGCATGCACACTTATACATGCAGCTGCACATGCAGACTTGCGTACATGCGCAAACGTAGAGGGATTGAAAGTCAAATGTGTGAACACAATGCTGAAGATGTCACCGTGTGCTGACAATCATACACATTTTGGCAGGTTGGTATGTATGTGTGCGTGTGTACATGTGAAATATATAACATTGATCCGTATACATACATACATACATACATACATACATACATACATACATACATACATACATACATACATACATATACATACTCGCCATTTGTATAATATTATATATATATATATATACATATATATATATATATATGTGTATATATATATATACATATATATATATATACATATATGCACACACATAAAATACACATACAATTTACCTTCCTCACAATCAATAATCTTGGGGAGGCCAGCGGCGTGCTGAGAGCTGTCAACGCCTGGCGAAGGTCGCAGAAGGAAGGACTTTGAGTGGTTCGGGTTGGGGTTCTTTGAACAATCAGACTACCGGAAGGATCCAAAACGTAGATCCCTTAAGGGGGTTCCTATAGAGTATGAGCAACCTTTGGTAGCCCAGGGTTCCAAATCAGGGGATCTACTTTTGGGATCCTTCCGGCGGTCTGGGATGTGGGACTCGGGGAAGCGACGAAGCCTTCACACCCAAGCCCTTCAACTCTTACCTGGTCCCTGAGTAACCTACCTGTTTCAGGACTTTAAAGAAAATTACACTAGGGAGCCCCCCAAAAAAGGAGGTACTTATAGGGTCTATAGGTGAACCTGGATCAAGTCACCCCCCACACCTTTAAACTCAATCCCTAAAATGCAGGGTTCGGGGTCTTCTGAATATGAAACCTAAGCCCTAAACCCTCAATCCCCTAAATCCTGAATCCTGTATTAAGCGAAGCTGTAAGAATCGTTGCAGTAGCTGCTCGTAGGAGCCTGGTGGGGTTTAGGACTAAGCGGCCTATGTAAGGGCCTTGATGCGGTGATTATGAAGGCTTAGGACACCTTCGTTCCTTCAATTTATCTCCGGTGTATCTTCTACTGCAGGTGTATGGCTATGATATGGGAGTTCTATGTATAACTAGTTAGTGAGATCTCTATTGGGCTGAAGACTTTGGCAGGACCTTGGGATTTTCGAGGTCACAAGGCTGAAGGAAAAGGTTCTGCAGGAAGGCTGAAACCAATGATAAGCCAAGCTCGTGTATGGTTGGGCGTCGGCCCTAGAAACTCTAAACCATAAACCCTGGCCTATAGGTTTCAGTAGTTGGTTAATCAGGGCTTGCGTGGAGGTCGGGAACCATACCTTCTGCCCGAGGAACTTCGCAAAGCAAGTACATGCTCCCGAAACTCATGGATGCTGTGTTCTGGAGGTTTTACGGCTTATAGGGCTTAGGGTTTAGGGCTTATAGGGTTTAGGGTTTAGGGCTTACAGGGTTTAAGGGCTTAGCTTAAGGCTTAAGGGTCTATGGCTTAGGGCCTACAGGATTTAAGATTTTCCCTACCTGTCTCAGCGCTGAAACCTGAACCCCACGAGGTTCTGGATTCAAAATCGACCCTACATCTGCGACCCATATTACCCTGAGGGTCCATGTGCCCAAATACGATATACTTTGGCCTTAAAGTAGTCCCTGTATGATACTTTGGGGCCCAAGTACATACTACTTTGGGCACATGAACCCTTACGGTCCTGAAACCTGTGCGCCCCTGATCCGACTTCCGACGAAGCCCGGGACCCTGAAACCTATCAGAACTCCTATAATCAAACCCAACCAGCAAGCCGCTGATCCCGCGTCCTTTCAAAGGCGTGAGCCTCTAATGTAGTGGCCTTGATAAACAGACCGAGAGGGTGCAGAGTAGGATAGCATAGTTATATAGGGGACTACAGACGGACTGTCTGGCTAATTCTTGACTCTTCAAACCTGCACGTTACACTCCATTCTGCGGCACGCGCCTTGCGGTACCAGAACACCGCGTCGGTGGCAGAAACGGCACAACCCAATCCTGCAATCTTGTGGTTGTCTGGGGTCTGTTTGACCTGGGTTTCACTGGTCCTGACTCTGGTCGTCGTGTGGACTTTAGGGCTTTTCTTAGAGGATCCCATGAGACCAATGGTCAAAGGGATCTACTGGCAGGATGAAGGTAGGTTAAGTAGGGAAGTCCGAGACAAGGGTCCATTCAACTTTAAGGCCTTAAACCCTAAACCCTAAACCCCTTAACCCAAACCCACACCTCTAAACCCTAAACCCTAGACCCTAAACCCCAAACCCCTAAACCCTAAACCCCTAAACCCTCAACCCCCACCTTTTGAGGCCCTGCAAAGGAGCCTCGCTCGTAGGCGTAAGCGGCGGCGGCCATGGCTTTCGCCACGCCGCTCTCGGCAGCTTGCAGGATGTACGGGAACCTGACGTACACCACTAAAGTCGTAAGTTCAGGGTTTTTTAAAGCACCTTTTTCCGTCTGCAGGAAGTCCCCATAGGGTAGGTGGTACTTATGATTGTAAGTTCAGGGTTTAGGGTTTAGGGCTTAGGGTTTCCACTACCTTAAGGACGACATGAACCCTACAAGGGCTTCAGGTTCATATACTATAGGGATTCATAGTATCAGGATGTAGGGCCCCCTACTTATCAGGGTCGTTTGGTCCTTCAGGAAGGTCGAATTCTTATGAGGGCTTTCTCGAGCACCGACCAATATGGCATTCAATATTGGGTTCTACAGGCCTCTTTAAGGTGCTACTACTCCAGGAAAGTTCTGGCACCAGCGAACGTAAACGGCCAAACCCCACAACCCTAATAAAGCGTTAAAGCCCGACATGCAAGCAAACAACAAAGCTGAAGAAAAAAACAGTACTAGTAGTCACGAGAACAACCAGAACAGCTGGAAGCAATTGCCAAACATACTAAACCCTGAGCCGTAGCAAGGCTAATCTCCAACATGGTGTAGTTAAACCCTGAAACCTTATTCTACTTCTTACGGCCCCGTTTCGATGAACATTTATGAACCCTGAATAAATCCGATTGCCGAAATCCTAAATTTAAATCCTTAAAAAATCCATAAACCCTAAGACCCTGAACCCTAAAACCCTTAACGTCTAAACCCCTCCAGCCAAGAGGCGCAGCGCTCTCGTCGAGCGTGAGAGGCCGCTGCAAGGAGGTCCCCAGGGCTCGTAGCACGCCCTTTCGGGGTCGAATATTGAGATGCCTGGGCTCTTTTTAAGGCTTCTAGGGTTTAGTCAAGTTTAAGGCTTTTGGGGTTTAGGGAGTTTTGGGGTTTGTGAGTTTTTTCCATTTGGGGTGCAGATGAAGAACGACAGTAATGATGCTGCTGATTCATGGAGAAACTAGCCTATAATGCAGTAGTCGAATTCTTGCGATACGGGTACTTATGAATGGTGAAGGAGCCGATGATGCCTCGAACTCTGAACGTCCCCTCACCATACTTAGAAAAGAGGTTACAGGAGCGTTCTGACGTGAATAGGATTTACCATGCTGATCAGGGCACTTACACACCAACCGCTAATTTTAGCTGCCCTTCTAGCAGCAGTCTAAGCAGTAACTGCAAAGACTCTGGGAGTTAATTATGGTGATGGTGATGACCTCCCCCAAGTGAGTGCAGGTCCAGCAGAGTTGCAGGCACGCCAGCGCCAGCGCACCTTCGCGAACGCTCAGGAACCGAAAGCCCTGACTTTGGTGTCTTAAGAGTTCCACAAACCCTAAACCCTAAATCCTAAACCCTTGCGAGTTTGATGGGTTTGGGTTTTTTTCAGGGCTCTTGGAGGTTAAAACCCTTGAGCCCAAACCACCAAAACGCCGGATAATGAGCCTGCACCCAAATCCTAACTTGATTTTGAGGCCTTAGCAATTAGAATAGGGTTTTGGCCCATTGTACTGTATTTACAATAAGGAACCCCCACATATTATAGGTCATTATTGAGGCCCCTAGTACCATGATAACGGGCGCTGTTGTTGAGGCTTCGGGCTTAGGGAAACAACGCTCGCGGTGACTTTGGGGACCTGGGGTGGGGCCTAGCCTCTCTTCTTCGGTAGCCGGGCGGAAAGAATTTCAAACCCTCTAAGTAGACCAAATATATAAGGCGAAATGAAAGTTGGAACAGCATTATCCTCATGCCCTGAAGGTAAAGTATGAGGAATCCTAGCAGTAATCCTCCTAAACTGATGTTCCAACTTTCTGGGATTCGCTGTAATCAGCAAACTCACGGAAGCAACGCCCGCCCCTTCTTTGTGTTCACATGAAACTACCCCCCTGCTCGCAGATTCCTCCCGGTCCCCTTGATCCTTGATGGCTAATCCCGTAAATACGACCCTTAAACCCCTAAAAACCCTAAACCCTGAGCCCCTGAGGGGAGCCCATACTACCCCTAAAGGAACCTTCAAACCTGCAAGCCCCGTAGACTCCTATGAAGCTTAAGACCCACCTTGTGGAGAAACCCCTAAATGGGGGCCGTTTAACTTCCTAGGAAAACACCCTTCACCCATCGGGTCCACATAAACTACCATTATGGAATCAGGTCCCCCAAAAGAGACCATCCTCATTATGACTTTGGGGACCTAATTCCATAATAGCACAATATATATATATATATATATATATATATATGGACCCTCTGGGTTAAAAGACCGAAAACCCCCAGATGCTCACTCGAACTTCTAAACCGTGCAGGCCCCTCGTTAGAGCCATCGCAAAACCCTGACAGAACCCTGTGTAGCATTCCCATACATAAACGCCATAAACCTGAAAGCCCCTATTTCAAACCACCGTTATCCCCGGAGCCCTCCTCCACTCAACCGAAAGAATCACCCTCATGTTTGTTTAAGGTTTAGGGTTGAAAGTCTAAGGGCCTATAGGCATTATAGGCTTTATAGGGTTCCTGGAAGCCTGCGTAAAAAAAAAAAACACCAGATTCCCAAACCCCGAAAGGCTTGGCCTGGAATGCTCCCGAGTTGGGCCGACACCTGTAGGTGGAAGAGGCCTGGGCAAGAAGCTGTTGGGGGAGGTTTTTGCAGCTGGGTTTGAAGAATAGGGCTTCTGTAAGGGTTGAGTTTGGGGGTTCCAGGACCCTCCCGTACCCCTGAACGTAGTCGAAGGTATTTCGAGGGCTTAGGATTCCAACTACAATGAACGTAATGGGGAACCCGTAATATATAATGCAATATTCAGGCTTCTATATTGACCTGTTCTATATTCAGGTCGAAAGCCCTCAACCCTAAGCCCTAAACAACCCTAAACCCTAAAGCCCTTTCTGGATTAAAGCACTCAGCTATCCTCAGCTGCTCTCTTTCATTCGAGATGCCTTGCGCCGGCGAGGTGAGCACGTTGTGGCCGATGAACTCGGCGTTCCTTGTTGCCGACATCGGCGTGGATTGTTTCGGGTTTTGGGGCTTCGGGTCGTGGGGTTTCGGGTCTTGGGGCTTAGAGCTTAGAAGCGCCTTGGAGTGTTTATGCTGGCACAAGTTGGGTCTGTAGGGCCCCATGATAGTTTGGAGGGCTGATGGAATTTGGAAAGCATTTTGCTAATCCGGTTTTCGGGTTGGCAGGTCAGGGGCTAGGGGCCTTATCAATCAGAATAGGGTTTTGGCGTATATTATACGATAATTAAAATAGTATTGGTAATAATCAAGGCCGCTATATTACGGGCCTGCAATCCAGTTGAAGCTGCGGCTCTCAGGCTTCGCAGTTTGGGATTGGTGTGCGGTGCGATGTTTTACTTGGCTTCAACGGTCGTTCCCAACCAGATTTGGGGAATGTACCCAGGTCCCCCAACTGCCATCGAATAGTATGCCCATATGATATAAGTACACCAAGTGCTCTATGTACCGGCACTTACCCTAAACCTAAACCCTAAAAACCCTAAATGGAGTCAGGAGGCAGGGTCGAAGGGGTTCTCCATAGTCCCAAACTTCAAACCCGTTGCAACAGCTATACACCCCCTACAGAACCCGTAGATGTCAGGGAGCAGGATAATTAGGAAAGGACAGGCTCGGGCTGGGATAGTACACACAGACCTACTACAGGGGCCTTCATAACTACCTACAATAGATTTTGGGGGTTCCTTACTATAGTTATAGTATATTATAGTATAGTGTGCCCCAAAACCCTGTTCTAATTAATAAAGCCTCTATACATTACCATAACTATAATAAGGACCCCCCAAAATGGTACAGGTAACTGTTAAGGCCCCTACATTACGCTCAAGCGCCTTTCTGCTCACCCGGCGAGAGGCGCTTGGACATGCCGCGCATGCAGCATAGCCAAGGCGAAGTGGACGTGGCGGTAGATTTCAGCTCGGGAGTTCTTTCCTGGTTTAGGGTTTAGGGTTTAGGGTTAACAGGAATCCTGCGAGTTGAAGGCTGTAGGGGCTGTTAGATGAATTCGGGGAAGGAGGACGACAGGGTGTTCTGAGGAAGGTTTATGTAGGACAGTTCTACAAGGGTCTTGTCATTGTCGGGGGGTCTAGGATAAGGCTTGTACGGATGAAGGTGGTCATCCGCTTCTGTGACGAGTAGAAGCAGCTTGGGATTTCGGGGTTGGGCGTGTAGTGTAGGGCTTCAGATTTAGAGTTGTAGAACCTCACCCCAGCAGCCCTCCACCCGCAAGCCCTCAACCCTACAGATACTTAACCACCGTACCGACAGGCTCCCTAAGTGTTTAGGCCCTTGTAAGGTTTAGGATTTAGGACTCAAGTGGGGGCCTCGTCATTCAGAGTGAGCCATACTAGAAATTCTGATGTAGAAGCTTAGCCTTCTGCTATGTAAGTACCTACGAAACCCTGAAGATCCGGGCCTTTGCCCACTGCCAGCACCAGCGATGAAGGCTCTGCCCGAATCACCACGTCCTGGGAAAGCCTAGCCTAGCATGATTCTCGGGCTTCCGGTGTTAGGCTTTACCTAAACCTTGTAAGCCCTAAGCCCTAAACCCTAAACCTTAGAAGCCCTAAACCCTAAACCTTAGAAGCCCGAAACTTAAACCTTATAAGCCCTAAACCCTTTAGGGCCTTTGGAGTGTAGACTTCCGCAGCCTTTCAGGGCCTGGGCTTCAACGGGCCCAGAGTTCAGAGGAGTTCATCATCCCTGGATTACAAAGTCCAAGACGGAAATGAGAGGGCCTCCTGGAGTTAGTTCCTTCGGTGTTCGAGCTGAAGGCCGTTGGGAGCTTGTCAGATGACTTGTTGTGGAGGATGATTGGCTTGCAGCTCTATCGAAGCGTAACTTCGACACCCCCCAGCATACGCGCATGCACATCACTCTTACCCGACGGCTCTCGAGCGAGATAGGACTTCAATCTCCCCCAAAGCCAAGACTGCCCAGCTTTATTGGAAGCCTGTGGTGACAAGTCCCTTCTAGAGCCTCCCGAAATCCCATCGAACTGTGTTCGGTCCTCGTCGGGAGCCGCATCGGCATCCCTGCAAAGGGAGACGAACTTCGAGCGAACACGCACTCAAGGACAGCAAGAAAAGCTTGCGCAGGCTTTGCGTTTCGGGTTCAGGACGGAGGCAGACTCAAAACAAGCATGTTGAGTAGCCAAGACACCTGGATGTCTGAGGCTGCGGTGATTGAAGCGCCCAAGCACTCAGATGTACTGCAAACCTTATACCAGCAAGCCTTGAAACGAGGAACTGCTCAGAGGTCACGCAGAAATTTGCGAATGCCCGCCAAACGCAAACCAGCAAGATCATCAGAACTTGGTCGCCGAAGCCTGCCCAGAAACAGAAAAAGACAAGCTACTGTAGTGTCTAAACGTGGATGCCCTTGGATGCCCTCAGTCCCAAGCATGAAGACCTCTTCAATCCTAGAAGTCTCTGACTTTCCTCTCCGCCATTATAAGCCATGCATGTGGCTTGCAAAGCCTTAACACACTTCCGAATGATCCTACAGCAACAGAACGAAACAGCTTAAATCCTAGACCCCCAACCCAACACCCTAAACCCCGAAACCCCTAAGCCACCAAAACTTCAAGCCTAAACCCAAAAGAACCCAACCCGGTTGACCCCAGGAGAGCCCTCCTCCCTCGAACCGCTCCCACCTCCCGTACTCGGTCGCTGCTCCGTCGCCTGGCATCCTGGGCTGCTCTTGGCTATGGGGGCCACTGTGGGGCTCACATATAAGGGCTTGGGGTTTGGGATTCAGGGTTTAGGGTTTAGGACACTATGGAGTTCACATATTAATGGATGGGGCCTAAGATATAAAGGTTCGGGGTTTTGGATTAAGGGTTTAGGGTTTAGGTTTCAGGGTATAGAGTTTTGCTGAAGGAACGCCCGGATCCACTGTCGGGCTCAGGACTTCAGGGTTTAAGCGACTCTGTAATCAGACTTCCGGGCTTTAGAGTCCATAAAGCTTAGGGATTGGGATGGTTTCGGAGTGTGGGGGGCTTGAGGTGCTTGCTTGTTGCGTTGCAGCTTGCACGGGCCGGCGCATACTGGAAACCCTGCAACTTCCATGCAGATTCTTCAACAAGCCTCCAAGACCAAAGCTATACATTCTTTCAACAAACCACCTGCGCCCTCTAAACCCAGATTTTTAAAGGGTCCCGATTGTGATTTCCTTTCACTAAATCCTCCAAAGGGTACGTTTTTGTCGTTAAGGCATGTTTTGAAATGAAACAGGAAGATCCCCGGCATAGCAGACCAAGGTGCGGGGAATGCGCAAACGGTGTCAGACCGAGCTGATGGCAAACGCTGTTGCAGCCTGGAGCGGCTAAACATAAACCCTAAAGCCTTTTGTTCGCAGCGCCTATACTATACTAACCTGGTAGAGCCCTGATCGAACCTTTCGATATAGAAGCCTTCTAGTAACCTGACTCACGTCCTGATGCACTGAGAGCCATGCATTCGTACATGCTTACATACACTATACGTAGATACAATCATACATACATACATACATACATACATACATACATACATACATACATACATACATACATACATACACAGGTAGATGCTTGATGGACAAAGACAGAAGCAAAGATGGATGTGTGTCTCTGTGTGTATACGTATGTGTTTGTATGCATGCATCCATGCATAAACAACAGGTGAATATATGTAGCTACACAGCCCCTGCAGAAGGGCCTAATCCCAACAGACGCGACCGAGTTGCGGTGGCTGGCAAAGAAGAGTGCAATCCCGCGGATGCCCATGTTTCCTCCCGCCAGGCCAACAGCGACAATGACCATCGTGACAGCAACACGTGCACACATAATCAAAATCAGAAAGACAAAGGTGCGAGTGGACCCCCCGTTTCGGGAGGAGCCCTATGAAAACACTTGTCTCCCGAACGGAAAAGCTCGGCAAAGGATTCTGCAGATCCGAGTATAAATTTGGGTTTGGGGATTATGGCTTAGTGCTGAGGGCCTAGGATTAGGGCTTAGGATTAGGGTTTAGGGTTTTTGCGATTGGGCTTACTATTTAAGCTGTCGGAAGAAGGGAACATGGGTAATTGAAGGCCGTCGAATTCTGTGGGAACTTCGCAATGGTTTTATGAAGTCCTGGGAGTTGGGGTTTAGGCTCTGGGGTTTAGGGTTGAAGCTGCTTGTGAGAAGGCTGAGTTTGGAGGGATGTAGGCTTGAGGGCTCAGGCGATTGGATGTAAGGGTAGAGCGCATGAGCCATGAGGGCTTGGGATGGGCACGACGAACACGGACAAGCATCGGAGCTTATCAAAGAGACCCGGGTGATCTTGTGAAACAGCCTGAACAAGCTCACACTTCCGCACTTTTATACAAGTCTTGAGAGCGCTGTCAAGTTTGCCTTGTTTGGCTGTGCTCATCACGAAAAGGTGGGAGTGGAATGCTTCGAGGTCCCTTCGTTCCGGAAGCTCCCATATTCTCCTGCCTCGTCCGAAGCTGGCAGAGCTTGCAGCAGTGTGAATCTGCCTCAACTACATTCATTCTTCATTAGGGTCTAGGGGTTTGGGGTTTTGTGGTCTAGGGTTTTTGTACAGGTACCCCAGAACCCTACGGCTACGCCACGAAAGCCTACTGCAGCAACTGCCAAGACGGTCCCTGACTCCGAAGCTTCCTGAAGAGCACTTCGAAACCCCAAAACAAGATAGTCTTTTGCGCATGCACGGCCTTCCCTAAACTGGGGTTGAGGGTCTGGGGTTTGGGCTGTGGGCTGAGGGGTGTAGGGCCAGTGTAGGGTTTACCGAGCTCCATGAAGTTGCGGCCGACACGCGGATCTGTGTACAAGTCGTCGACACCTCGCGAGAGGCAAACTTGGGGAGGAAACGCGATGCGTAAATCTGACTTGGCGGGGTTCATCGAAAGGCTCAACTAAAGTTGCAAGTAGGGCTTTCTCAACACCTTCTAAATTGGAATATACTTCTGTCTACGGCTGCCATTCTTGTATCCGTGGTTGTCCTGAGAATCCATGAGCCTTCCAGCAGAGTATAGGACACAATCGCGAGATACATCTACCCCAAGCTCCTCACACTTCAGTCCCATAGCCACAATCAAAACCTCCAAACCCAAACGAAGTCAAGCCCAGATGAACAGGTCCTGCACCAGAAACCGAATTGGCAGAAGCATGAACTACCTTCAGGGTCCATGTACCCTACCCATAAATGAATCGCTTTGGGGGTCAAAGTACATACAGGACCCTTCGTGCAATGTAGGCCTGACAACTTTATTGTGTATGGCACAACCAGACCACACCTTACCTTCCTCCGACAAACGGCCAAAACCTCCAAACCCAAAGTCCCTGGCAATATAGGGCCGCAATAGTTAGAATGACTTTTGGGGGTATATGATATCTAAAATAAGGAACCCCAAAACCCCAAGGTATGATGCTCGTATGTTTCTTCAAGCCGCGCTATGGTTGACCCTGAAATCGCCCCTCCTTGGATGTCCACGACGATCTGCTCGCCGGCAGAAGCTTCGAATGTGTAGTGCGAAAAGGCGTGGGGAGTGTTCCTTACGACCTCGTCCGCCACGAAACCTGCTGGAAAATGGAGCCCTCACATTGAAGGGTCCCTATGTTCTGAAACTTTACAAAACCCCTGTGATCGAATGACCACCCAATGTGCGAGGGCCATATTCTCAGGATACTTTGCCCTTACCACACCTTTGTTGATCACAGGTCTACATTTAAAACCGAGAACATGAGGGACTTGCGAGGTGATATTTGGGGTCGAGATGTGTTTGAGCTGGGATTTCGGGTTTAGGGCTTAGGGCTTAATATTGATGGTTTAAGTAAGGTTTTGGGCGAAGTCTTGAGGATTTAAGGTTTTTTAGGCTTAGGGCGTAGTATTGAGGGTTCAGGGCGCACAGGGCCGAGTATTGAGGATTTATGGTTAAAGGCTTGGTACTGAGGGTTTTAAGGATTAGGGCTTAGTATTGAGGGTTTAGGGCGTAGTATGTATGTAATCGTATGGGGTTTAGAGTTTGGATACTTTGCTTCAGGATATAGTTCTACCTTCTTGGGATCTGCATGGAGCTCCGGGTGCGTTCCCTGCCAGGACGGTGCCCAAGTTGCCGGAGGAAGTCTGCAATATTTTCCCGTCCGGAACGCGAAACCCGAACCTGCAAACCCGAAACCCTAAGCAAGGAGCTCAGCATGTGGAGGGGTCTAGAGCCCAGACATCTCAGGCATAGGATCACAGGCTTTAAGGGTGATTGGTGCAATTGGGGGGAGGGTTCAGGCCTTAACCCTTGAGAGTTTCCAAGCCCTAAACCAAACCGCAACAGCAAGGCGTTCGAGACCTTGGAACCTTTGTCTTGTTGTTGGGGCGCAGGCAGGGGACTTCAGCGTCCTGGGTTTGGGGTTTGAGCTTCAGGGGCTTGGGATTTTGGGTTTGAGGTTTGCGGTTTGAGGCTGAGGGTTTAGGGGTTTTAGGCATAGGGATCACAGTCCCCGATCGCCTGAGTTGCTGGAATGCTTCGTGAAGCTTCCATCCAAGAAGGCCTCGGGCCAGGCGGGTTTAGGGTTTAGGGGCTAATTAATAATTACTGTAGGGGCCGCAATAAATCCAAATAGGGCGTGGATGGTATAACAGTCGGATCGATGACTTTTCAGTTCACATATGACGCAATGTTGTTACACAGATATATTGCGCAAGTCTGACATGGGATTTCTCTGTGGGGTCAGTTTGGGGTCACTGGAGGTGGCACGCGGCCACAGCGGCTACAGCTGAGACGGCCCAAGCCTCGAACACAAGCCCCAACGCACCCCCAGACAGGGCTCACTGTTACTTATTGCAAAAACGTTTAAGCCCTCAACCATCTTCGAGAGCCCAACAAAATCTAGGAAACCCTCTGTTCATCCGCTGTTTTGAGTTTCTGCTGCTGTGTACCAGTTTATGTCCGCACTACGACTTGCGACCGTGGCTCCAACACTAACGTTATTTGGAGGTCTCACAAACTAGTCTCCGTGGTCACGCACCCCACAACCCTGCAAAACGTCCAGTGAGCCGAGACGCTGTCCTAACAACCACCACAAAGGCCCAAAGAAATCCAGTAGCAAACAATTTTGAATTCGTACAAAGCCATATATCATATATCATATTCATGTAAAGCTCTGAGGGATCCCTGAAGTTTCTTTCCCAGGAAGGCACGCCTCCACTGCAAAGTCCCGCCGCTGACCGGGTCGCTCAAGGACAGCAAGCACCGATGCTTCCACGAAGTCCACCTTCCTTGAAAGATTCGAGGAGGGTTTTCTGACGGCTGGATAACGGACACATGTAAGGTTTGTATGGTTTCCGCGGGTTTCGAAAGGATTCGAAAAGGGCTTACGCGAAAATCTAGAGGGTTTTAGGACTGGGTTTGCTACACTTGTTGCCATCGGGTCTCGTCGGTTTTTGTGAGCTCGAGGGTGTGTGGAATTTACGGTTTAGTGGGCTCTTCCACGTATGGTTTTGGGGGAGAGTTTAATATCTGTTGAGCTTGGCAGGCTTGATGGGGTTTTAGGGCTAAGAGATTAGAATTTCAGTTTCGGGCTTCAAAACTTCAGGACGAAGGCTTGTGGTGTAGCTGATAGTATATGTTCTGAGCCTCAAGTTGGTAATGACGAAAAGCTGAGAAAGCCCCACATGGATTTGGGAATCTACCTTGTCTGCCTCTGTGGGATCTGCCAGCTTTAAAACTTCTTGAAGCTCTTCCTGCGTTCAAGAACAGGCCCCGAACAAGGTTCAACCCCCTCAGCAATCGAATCCCTACACCCTCCAAAACCGAAAACCCTAAAACCCTAAGCCACCCTTAACCCTAAACCCTAAAACCCTAAAGCCCTAGGCCAGAATCATAAGGAAATAAACACCCTAAATCCTCCACCCCAAACCGAAAATACCCTAAAACCCGAAGTCCCTAAAAACCCTAAGCCCCAAAACCTACAACGAGAAGCCCCAAAAGAAGGGTATCTTAAGTTCTTCAATTGACTGAGAGGCCCCTTCCAAGACCCACAAGCCTTGCCTAAATAAAGCCAAAGCGATGAGCACCCTAATGTATGGGGCCCGAATAACTAGAATAGGGCTTTAAGATCCATTCTACTATAGTTGGGTTTTAGGGCACTCGGGCGTAAGCGCTATTCCTTTTTCGGTTCAGGAACGTAGAACAAGGCTCGATGTAGGGCGTGGGAATCTGCGGAGCATCTGGAAGGTAGAAACAGCATTGGCTTCAGGACTATTGTAGGGTTCGCGGGTTGCCTGTTTATGGCTTTGGGATGTTTTGAACTTCAAAGCGCCGAAACCTAAGGCCTGAGACATGAAAACCCAAACCCCACAGCCCAAAACCTAAAACCATCAAACACCTAAAACCCTTACGTTCTGCCCGGGGAACTTCGGTGGCGAACAAGAGTTGAAGCGGTCGCCGTAACTCTTGGCGATCATCCTGGGTTCAGTCAAGATGTTAGTTTAAGCTACCATAACGAGAAACACCAGTATTTACAACAGATCTCTATGACTGGTGGTAACTTAGACCATATCAGCTACTACCTTAACCCTAAACCCATTATTCAATATTCGGGCGATAACTTAGACCATATCGGCTACTACCCTAAACCCTAAACCCTAAGCCCGTTATTCAATATTTCTTAACAAGAGCCCAGCATCTGCATGATCACATCGCTTTCGAGGACGGAGAGGTCGGGATCCTCGGGTTGTTTAAGGCCAAGGTGGCCAAGGGTTCAGGGCTTAGGGTTTGGAGTTGGGGCTTAGGCTTTAGGGTTTAGGGCTTAGGGTTTGGGGTGTAGGATTCCGGGGTTTAGGGTTTCGGGTTTAGGGTTTCGCACGTCTTGGGCTGCTTCCACAAGACTAAACTGGGAACGTCATCAAGGGCAAAGGAACTGAAACAAGCCTCGGGGTTTAGGGTTCAAAGCTTAAGGCCTCAACTTGCAGGGAGTGTGCAAGCGAAGAAACTGGTCGGATACACGCAAGCTATATACAAGATATTCTGTTAGGGTGTAAATGCCTTGGGATGTGTATACTATCATATGAATATACACATACACACATTATTACTCTTGCCCGCAGCAAGAACTGCACAGCAGACCCTAAAAATAGCCAAGGCTCACTAATGTACCGCTTGGCCACCCAGTTCGAACGGTCTGGCTCTCGCCGCATGCGATGACAAACGCGCATGGACCCTTTGGCGAAAGGCTCCTGGAAGCTCGGGGCAAGACTTGTCAAACCCTAAACCCTGAAACATTGAAACCCTAAACCCCTAATAATAAAGACTAAACCCCAAAACCCAGAAGCCCTAGCCCTAAACACTCTTGTCCGAGAGTTTAGGGCTTATGGCCCCAGGTCAGTCGGGAATCACTTGGAGGCCCCCGGCATGTTCGAATATAAATACTATAATAAAATACGATGTTCTACTGAAAAAGTGATAACACACGACAGTTTAATATTCTAAATTACGACAAAGACAATCCGAAAATCCACACACGCCTCCGAGTTCCCTTAATTTGGGCGTGCGGAAGAATTGGTAAGACTATGCGCTTCGAGTCCACAGAAAATCACAGTATACTTTACACACGGAGGAGTATCCGCTTTAAAGCCCCGATCGATCAATCTCATATTAATATACCAACATCGACATTCAATTCAAATTAAACCCTTACAGAGCCCTCCAACGGAAACATGCTAGAAACCCTCTTCTAATCATGAACTGGGTGTCGATTTCAACAGTCCCCAAATCCTTTTTATAATTAGGGCTCCAGAATTTTGGAAACCCGATGAAGGACGACAAGTAGTGCTGGGTTTGCTTGTGCATTCCTCTTAGGGATTGAGGCTATTGGGTGTCCACCTTTTGCGCTTCTACTGTAGGAAGGTGTAGGGGCCTTAATACTTGGAATAGGGCTTTGGGGTACAATATACTACAATTGATTATGAAAAGGAACCCCAGAAATACGATGGGTAAGTATCAAGGCCCTAAACCCTAAACCCCTAAACCAAACCCAGTGAGAACCTCCTCGCTCCTTCTCGAACCGGACCAAGACGTCAGAGGTGACCCAAGCTTTTCGCACGGGGTCCCATCGCCGTCGCTGGGCGTGCTCCAGGGGCAACTGCTTCCTGGACCAAGGGGGGGGGGGGGGGGGGGGTTAGGGTTTAAGGTTTAGGGTTTAGGATTTAGGGTTTAGGGTTTAGGGGTGAAAGATCAAGCAGTGTCGGACCGTTAGGCTGAGTTTAGGGTCTTAGGGTTTTTGGAGTAGGGTTAGTGCTTATAGGTTTAGGAATTGTGGAGCTTAGGGTTTAGGGATTAGGGCTGAAGCTGGCCTAATCCCTAGAACTGTCCTTGGAATGAAAATATAAGACAACTTCAAGTTCCAATTCTGGGATGCCCTCTTAAAGAAGTGTATTTCTGTTGCCGGGTGGATTAAAGAAGCCTAGTGATTTGCCATGGTCCACGGATGGACAGGATACTCAGAACAACACCCAACTGAGTCGAAAGATGCAAGCAGTGTCGGACTTCTCGGCTTCGTGTGTAGGGTTCAGCGGTTTCAGGTTTGGCGTTCTAGGGCTTTGGGGCTTTGGGCTTTGAGGCTTTGGGGGTTTAGGGTTTCAGGTTTCCGGAATAGAAAAATTAAGCCTAAACCCTAAAACAACAAGCCCTTCACCTTGCGGCGGGCATACTTTGAGGACATCTTATCAGGGCGCCACACGGTGTTAAGGGGGTCTACTCTCTTCGTGCAGCTCATCCAAAATCAGACCTGGCAAGCCCAATGCCCCAAACGGAAAGCTTTAAAACCTCATTCCACCAACAACTGGACCCCAAACCCTAAACGCTGAACCCTAAAGTAAATTGACCCCAAACCCGAAACCTGGATCCCCACCTCGGAGGGAAAGCGTTAACCACCCACCCTGCAATTAGCACTCCACACCCAAATCCGAGAACCTAGTCCGAACCCATAATCCCAGACCCCCCCAAACTCCGTAGGTCTAATCAAGCACCCGACCTACACCTCCCAACTGCCCTCTAACAATAGGCCCTAAATACCCACTAGTTAGCCATCAGGGCTCTATTGAAGGGCACCTGGGGGTCCTGGAAAACCCTCAAGTATGGGCCAAAAGGCAAGCTGTAGGATTTCCACGGGTCCGGGAGCTGCAGGGCCTGCTCAGCTTGGCGCGACAGCTTCGGGCTTCGGTCTGGGGAACACTGATTCCGAAGACTCCAGACGCAGAATCCCGAGAGCGCAGGAGGGTGTAAGGCCCTAGACTCACCCTCCCTAGGGTGCAGTAGGGTTTCGGGCGCAGGGTTCAGGATTTAGTTGGGTTGGAAACCCCCAACACAGCATGGCCCTACAGGCGGAGATGCACACGGGCAAGCATCTGGGCCTTCATGGCGGCCTGCCTCCACCGCTGGCGCGGATCCATGCGCTGCCGCGGCAGTGGCTGCACATGGACCTCCGGTCCTGACCCAGCAGATGTATAGACGTATCCGCCTCACAATCTAAACTCCTAAACCTAGATCCAAGGGCCCGAAATATCTGACGATCCTCACACCCTAAGCCCTCACACACGAAAAGCCTTAATGACCCTCAAACCCTTGACCTGAGCCCCTCCACGCCCACACCCCGAAATATCAAGCATCTCACACAAAAGCATAAACCACTGCCGGTAAGATCAGAGATCGTCAACGAGAAGGAACACCCCAAACCCGAAGCCCAAAGAATCTCAGTCTCTTAGAGCCTAACATCCGACTCGACCCTATAGCCACCCAAACATCCAAACCACACGCACACCAGTCACGATTTAGGGTTTAGGGTTTTGGGTTTATCGTTTAGGGTTCAGAAACTCATTTTGAAACTCTTCTCTGGCCCTTTCTGCCTCCACTGCCTGGAGGTAGTGTGGCGAGCCATTGAAGGCTTGCACCGACGATGCCTCGGAGTTGAGCTATTTGACGTCTCACAACTCGAGGTTTGGCTGTCAGTGTTTACCTGGACCCTATAAAACCGTCCTTTTTGGTCGCTCCTGATTATAATTTCCCTGTGTGTCCCTCCAGTCCGTGCTGCCAGGAAACAGTAGAAAAGGAGCTACACCAAGGGTAGTAGCACTTAGCAGATACTTGCTCAAGACCCCCAATTTAGCTTTGCCCGTTCCGAAGGATGTCTACTATACTACAGTAGAAGCCGAAAAGTTGGAGACCCAATAACCTCAATCCTTAAAAGTAATGGATAGCGAATCACAGCACTAATCGTCCTTAATCCGGTTTCCAACTTTTTGGGGTTTACTATAGTCTCTGAGGGCCCGGTTGCTCATCGCCTGCGGGACACCATGCTTCCGGGCGATCCTTGGATCAAGACAGGCGGGAATTTAGAGCCCACTGCTTAACTAGAATACGGCTTTCGCGCAAACACAACTATACTTATGCATGTAAAAGTGAGTGAACAAGCTAAACAAGTAAACAAAACAATCAATATAACAATACACCCACCTTTAAACCTCCAACGATGCCACTGAAGAGATATGTGGAGCCGTCACCAAGGCACATCCATAGGAGCTGCGTGTGAAGCTCCTGTCGATAAGGCTTTGGGTGTGTCGTTTTGAGGAAGTTCAGGGTTTTAGAATTGCTGGGCTGGCCTTCTAAAGCCGTTGAAAAATGTTTACGTCGTAGATAAGATCCCCTTAGGCCCCAAAAGGGAAAACATGATATGTCCCAAAGGCCTACCTAGACCTAGATCATGCATGAGGGTTCAGGGGCGAGGAGCCAATGGTTGCACCCCTGCTCATAAACCCTGAACCCGAAACCTCACATCGTAGACTCTGACCAGTGTCCAGCGCGCCGAAGCCCAGCCTAATTAGATGAGGGCCTGGTGTGAGCATGAGCCCTAAACCAGTGCTTCGTGTATCAAGTGCGGTCCTGCTGGAGTCCTCCAGCAGTAGTTGAGGCATCAGAAACCCTAGAAGGATCAATGCCATCACTTGCCATTTTGTAGGTTTTGGGCTTGCGCTAACCTTGTTGCAACAATTTCAGGCTTTACAGACCTTGGTGGCTCAAACTTGAAACACCAAAACGATAAGATAAGCTCTAGACCCTTGAAAGCCCCCAACACCCTTCATAAAGTGTTCAACGCCTAAAAGCCCGAAGCTCTCAAGCTCTGTGTAAACCCTTGTGGGAGCCTTCATGATGAGACTAGGGTTCGGTTGCAAATTGCACATAAAATGATAATTCCTACTTTAAAAACGTATGGGTACCTTATTTTTTAAACCACAGAAGAGCCTGCAAGTCGCGCAGCCCGCAGCTGCCCAGAAGGCCCTCCCAACCCCCGGCGCGCATGGCAGCCCATTGGAGTGGCAGGGAGGCTGTTTCTTGATAGGTCTATATAGGCTTAGGGTTGCTGGTTCTTGATAGGGTTTAGGGCTTTGGGTTCCGAGTTGAATCTGATACTTAGAGGAGGGTGATGCGGTATATTATACATAGTCTGACCCTGGAGGGTGGATACAAGGGGTGTTATGGTATGTCTGTGTACAGGGCTTTTAAGCATCCCCTCCTGATTAGTCAAACCTCTTTATTGCAAGAGGTGCCCGAGGCCACAGGATGCAGCGATACGGCTTGGGTTGCAATGTAGGGGCCTAAGTAATTACCAATACTATTTTTGGGGGCTCCTTGCTATAATTATAGTATAATGGGCGCCAAAACCCTATTCTAATTACTAAGGCCCTTGTATGAGGGTGTCGGTTTGAGGGTTCGGAAGGCTTCAGGGTTTCGGGCTTACCGGTGTAACTTCAGGGTTTTGGGGTTTTGAAGTGAGGCCTCATTAATTCACGGTTTTATGTTGGAGGTCCTCGCGTTGAGACAGATGAAACAAAGCTTCCGGGCTTTCGTCTCGAGAGGTTTATAGCTTTTGGCTTCGGGATGAAAAATTCAGCACGGCGCTCGGGAGGATTAGGTTCAGGAGTTCATGCAGGTAGGGTTCAGGTGCGCAGAGCTTGCAGTTGAGGGGTTCTGCTACACGTTAGACTATTCATGCTGCTTCTGGCATGATAGACCCTAAACCCTAAACCCTAAGACATCGCATCGATCATCAAGCTGGAGCAGGGAAGCTGCCGGACAACGGAAGCAGGCATCATTTTCCATACTCTGGTTGTTTAGGGGTTTAGGGTTAGGGTTACCGTTTGGGTTTAGGCCAGGGTTCTATCTAGAACTTTCCAAATCGTAATTACCCGCTTCTGAACCTCTACAGTCCCCCAAAGCCCAAACCCTGGACCCCGAACCTGAGCCATGCGGTAGTGGCAAACATTGCAGTACCTACTTCGGAAAAGTTCGTGAGCTGAAAGGATTCAAACACCCGAAGTAACCAGCTTAGAAGCTTGAATCCCCCCAAAATGCCTCCCTTGCAGGGCGTCTCAATATTAAGTATGACTTGTCTTGGGATATGTGCTTAGTTTAACAAGCAAGCTCTTTGGGGCTACAGGGAAGCTGTGACAAAGGGGAGACTCCATTGGGTTGCGATTCGGACCGATTGATTGAGATGTAGACGGCAAGCCTACGCCCATTACCAATCTCAGACTCAGGGTCTACAGGATTTACGAACATCCTTGCAAGAACGCTCGAACCAAAAGCGGGCATTCTTGGAAACCTCAAGAGGATTCACTAGCAACCCTGGTCGCATTATTCAGGTCCTTATAGCACCTCGTCCTCTGCTAAGCCTCGTCAGGACCCTTTCGCCCTCGTCCTCGTGTCTTCCAGGGCGGGGTACCGCCCGTGAGCTCTCCGCCCAATCATCTTGCTGCCGCGGGGAGTGTATCTGTCGCAAGGGTTCCCATAGCATGGGGCTTGGAGTTTTGAGTTTAAGGTTTTGGGCCTTGGTGGTTAGATGTTCAAAGATTTTCAAGCTCACTTTCGGAATTGAGGTTCCTAAATCCCGCTAGACCGCCACTAAAGGAGCAACTCAATGCCCTGCAGCCTGAACCCGACCCCCCCCCGCACCCCCAACTCACCTGAAACCCACCTCGAAACCCGAAGCCACAAACTTAAACCCGAAAGTCTAACGAAACCCAGGACAGACCATCTGCAGATCGTCCTAAGAGCCCTCCTCCGTCCCCTTCTTTCCCCTGTCTGGGTAGGCATTGAGGCTGCGAAGGGCTCGTCATCGATACTGTCACGATGAACGAACCCTATAACGAAAATTTGTTTTTTGGGGAAACCCGAACCCGAAACCCTAAAACCTTTAAACCCTGAACCCTAAATCTGAAACCCTAAAACCCCTAAACTTTCCCAACCCTAAGCCCTAAAGTCCGAATCCCTCATCCCTCCTCCCCTCCCCCGGTGCTGGGCTGCGCACCGCATGCCGCAGGCCGTAGGAAGCCCCGGGCCGATAATGCCCAAGCGGCGGCTCGGGTTGCTGGGGCTCCTTGGGCCATTTTTGGAGGATTCCAAAACTCCTTAACTAGGGAATGTACCGACAAAAAGTTACAACAGGATCCTTAATGTATATGGTCTAAGGTAGAATCCTTAGTTCAGGAATTTTGGAAGGTCTGGATTTACAAATGATTGTATATGCATATATGTATATATAGAGAGACAGAGAGAGAAAGAGAGACAGAGAGAGAGGAGAGAGAGAGGGTATGATATAAGGCTACTATAGGGTACCATTCTTTAATTAGGAGGGGGGAAACCCTCAATCACGTTAGGGATCCTATTCAGGGATATTGGAAGATCTAGCTATATGAAGGGTTGTCTTCAACCGTTTCGTCCGGGGTTTTAAAACGATGTTACGGTTGTACAAGGGTCTGTCCTATAGTTTCTGTCTATGGCTTATAAAGCCCGAGTACGACAGATGAGCAACACGTTCAGCGGCCTAAGCCTAACGATATTGGTTAGGGCCAATCCCTCCAAAAAGAATTACAAAAAGCCATGTAAAGGCGGTGGTCCATGAAGGGTTGATCTTAGGGTCAGGGTCTAGTTTAGGGTTTAGGGTTTACTTCACTTCTCCAGGGATTAGTTGGGGGTTTGGGGCCATTTGGGGCTTTAGAAATGTAAACGCCTCCGCGCTTCAAACAAGACCAACATCAAGCCCGAGCAAATCTGCCGCGGCCCCAAACCTGCAATCAACCCAAAGGCAGAGGAAGCTTAAAGCAAGGCCCTTTAACAAAAAGGTTTCCCTGAATCACAACACTGCTAGAAAGCCGAGAGACTTTCTAGTAACGCTCATACCTTAAAATCCCCCCAAAAGGGGATCTATAAGGGATCTATGACAAGGTTGGCCCCTAAAAGCCTTTGCAGAAAACAACCGTATATAAAAATCCACTTCGGCCCGTTAAGGGGAAATAGAAACTTGTCCAACGGTTTACCCAGATAAGGATCTCTAAACAGTTCCTTTAAGGGTTTAGGGTTTAGGGTTTAGGGGTATAAGCACCTCAATACCCCCGGTCTCTTGCGCCAGAGATTCTGGGGGCGCGGGCTCCGGCTCCTCAACGGCTACCGCGCCTGACAGCGAGACTGGGCAGTTGGTAGGGTTTAGGGTTTAGGGATTAGCGTGTAGGGTTTTGTTGGTAGAGAACTTATCTTCAAGATGCCAGAGTAAGGCAGGCATCCTACTGCACCCTTTGCTGTTGAGACTGTTGCGCGGGTACATGGACTCAACTTCAAGATACCAGCAGCATCCGGAAGGCAGAGGTTGTCCGAAATGTCCTCCTTTTATGGCTTATGGTACCCGAAGGGGATCTTCATGGCTTGCGGTACGTTAAGACCACCAGGCTCCTAGACGAAGACCAGGAGACAAAGGCGAGGATGACAGCTATCCTACAAAGCTCCCTTGGATTCCTCAGGGAACTTCTGGCTTCGAGTTCTGCTTCAGCCCTGATAATTAGGCCCTAATAATGCGAAATTTCTGTATGTGTATGTATGTGTGTATATATGTACACACACACATACATAATTGAATATGTCTGTATATATATATATATGTTAGAGCATGTATAGAAAGCTGACAGTATCCCTTCTAGATCTGACTGGAATAAGGGACTTGGTAAGTAGGTTTGAAGTGGGATTGTACGTACCAAATTTGGAGATACCCTGCTTGCGTGCCTACTTGTGCCTTGTTGACTACCCAGCGACTCCAACACCCCTTGATTAAGGAATACACCGGACTTGGTAGTAATGATCCCTTCTTGATTCAAGCCTATTCCTTGTGTAACGGGTTTCGGAGTCTCGGGGTAGGCCCCTGGACTCTAGGCTGTACAGAAAACAGAGGTATGTTATAGCAGAAGTATATGGGACTACAAAGGAATTCGGCAAATCATGAAAGTAATTCAGATACCTATGCTAGCTCTGACCGGTCACTGAAACGGCAGAATGCCCCGTGGCCTCTGTTTAGATCATAGGGTCTTGCGGCTTTGGGCTTTAGGATTTTATGGTCCTTGGACCTAGGTTGCGGGTCCCAGGGTCCAGGGTCCAAAGGCTTTGGGCTGTAGGGTCCTAGACTTTTTGCGGCGTTTGGGGGAGTTGGCGATCTGCCTGGGGAGTCGCAAGGTCGTAAGATATGACCCTGGGCAGCTGGAACAAAGGCTTAGTATAGAATATACGATCTGTATGTATACCTATATATATATATATATATACGCAGATCGATAGAACTGTCCTACAGTCTACAGGAACTATCAGGGATTGGAAACACACGGACTGTGAGGGACCACTGTTACCAATGATCCGAATCCCCACAAACGCACTCTACCCCGCAGAGGAGATGGACTTGCCTTGCAGCTTCTGCCTGCGCCGATCTTTTCGCTTCCTGAGTCACGTGTCTCAGATTGAACTCCATCACCCCACTTGGGTTCCGAAGGAGTTCTAAGATTCTAGGCGGGGTTCAAGAATGGCTCTGTGCGGATTATATGTGTTCTTCTTTTACATAACGATTGCTTCATGTTGAAGGCAAACCGGACAAACCTAGCCGGCACCCCGACCAGGCAACCTTCACGGTCACCTAGCAGACAACCTCTCTCGCACCAGCAAAGGCTTGTGATCAGGATTTGGGTTTACGGCTTAGGCGTTAAGATGCATATGGGTAGTTCTCGAAATCAGGGTCCCTTTGTACCCCAACATAGTATGCCACCCTCATAAAGAAGAGCCTGAGAGCGATCCGGATTTAGAGAACTTCCCATGTAACTGTCGGATCCCACATTCCCGGCGAGACCCTTTGCTGGCAAGCTGCTTAGAAGCTTCGGTGCGAATCACGGATTTTCAAAACGGAAGCCCTGAGTATGATAACATTGCCTAAGATAAAATTTTCGGCCACACAGGTGGAACTGAATGGTGTCTGAGAAGCTGCTTCTCTTCAGCCCATTTGTCCTGCAAAGGCTCTATGGATGTAGAAATTCAGGGCCCGGGGCTGAGGGACTACACGTTCAGCTTTTAAGGGTGTAGGGGCTTTTCTGCTTTGGAGATCTACTTGTAGGAAGTAACGAGTGGTCCAAAAGCGTAACAGGTGCATCGCACGTGTATGGTTCCACAGTCACCTGGAATATAGACGACTCAACAAGTCCCGAAGTGGTGGGTACTCTGGATCTCCGGGGAACTGGGCTTCTAGACAATTGGTCTTCAACATCCTAACGTAGGGGTCTTCATACTTAGAATATAGGGTTTTCGGGTCCTTTATAACAGCATAATGATATAGAGAACCTTGCGGAATATTATTGGTAATTGTTTAGGCCTAGGCTTCTCTCTTACACCCGGACCAGAACTCTGACTTGCCCGGGCTGTCCTGCAGCTGCTGCCAGCGCTCTTGCATCCTCTCTTCAACCGCACATCTAAGCACTACACCAGGGCTTACGGTATTGATTTCTGGCAAGACTTTCAGAATGATTCATACTATGATGTTTATGCCAACTACTGTTTTTGTCATGGTGATACTCAGCAGCACTATACTTTAAACTTTAGAGACTGTAGAGCCGCTTAGCCCTAGCTTTGTACAGTCGCCGAGGGTGGGTCTCTCCCCACAACTATCATACACCCCAAACCCAACAGCCAACAACATCCTGGAAACCAGAAATCCTACTGCTCCCAAGCCCGAAGACCACAAAGAAACACAGCACAACCCTAAGCGCCCCTGATGAACGCTGCACCTGTGCTCAAAGCCTGACAACGCAAAATACCAAGCTTAAGAAGGCAAAACCTACCAAGCCCGATAAACCCCTGAACCCTAACGTCCTAGAGAAACCTCGCGATAGAACCCTTACCGGACTTACGAAGCCCTAAGGGTTTGTATAGCAACCAGTAGAGAACCCTCATAGTTCTTAACAATCCCGAAGCAAACCTAAACCCTAAACCCCTAAACCTGGCACAGGAGAGGTGGCGCCTCTGCTTTGATTTTTTGGCCTTCTTTGGCTTCGACGGCTGCGAGGGCTCCGGCTCTGCGAGGGGCGGGAGAACGCCTCCCAAGAGGCTTCGGGTTTAGAGGCTTTGGGTTTCGGGCTTAGGGTTTAGGGGTTGGAAGCTTTTATAGAGGCTTAGGGTTTAAGGTTCAGGGTTTCGAGTTTGGGGCAGCTTTCTGAACATGCAATCTCTCCTTATTTCCCAATGGGACGCATGGGGTAGACCAGGTCGCCCACGTTCCAACTTGTTGGCTTTCGATGTTGTTCATATTCCCCCAACGCGGGCCCTCCGATATCCAAGAACAACTAAGCCCTAACGAACCCTAACACCTAAGGGCCCTAAACACCGAAAATCCCTAAAGCCGTGAAGCTCAGGGCCTTCCAGTTTCGGGTGGCGTGCTTGCCGCGTGCCGAGCCACTTGGAGATGAGGTCATCCTTCCTTGAGCAGCAAATGGCTCAGGGGTTTCGAGTTTAGGGTTTAGGGATGAAGGTAGGTGCGGTAATGGCTTTAAGGGTTTAGGGCTAAGGTGGTAAAGAAAAATCAGCATAAGGGTTCGAAAAGTATGTTAGAAGGGTGCGTGTTGTAAGGGTTCAAAACAGTTTTATAGGGCTCTTGTCCTCCTCAGAGTCGGGGTAAATCAAAGAGTTTATATCGTCAGGGTTTAAGGTTTAGGGCCAGTGTAGGGTTCAAGGTTTAAGGTCAAGTCGGCTCGGGTAATATCGGGGCCACTTGTGTAAGGGTTCGTTGAAGAGTTCTACGAGCGCTGGTATACGGATTCTATAAGGGTTTCTCTTGGGCGTTCTGGAAAAGGTTCTGTAGTCTTGCAAGGCTGTTTTACAGGGCTCTGATTAGGGTTCGACAGGGGCATTATGGGGCGGGGCCTGCTAACTGGAATGGCCGGGGTTTGGCCTTTGTGGGCTACAATCGTGTATAGTGTGCCGTAATCTCATTACCGTATTTGTATAATAGTCGGACCCTAAACCCTGAACCGGGCCCTATATCCCAAAACCCTAACTTTCTCAGCCTTGGGCGATGGCCAAGTTTCTGTACAAGCTTCGAGTCTGGGATTTGGCTTTAAGAGCTCGCGCCTGGAAGAGGCTTCAAGCGCGACCATCACTTGGAGGTCTAAATGGGGTCCTAAGTATACAGGGTAACTATACAAGTCCCCTAACTTAACTTAGCCGCCCTTAGAACCAGAATAAGACTCATATTCTTATATAATGATTCACCTCCTGGAGTTAGGTTATGGTAAGAAAATAACGAAATTCTTGAGAGCAGTAAAGCCAAGCTCTAAACCCTAAATATCCTATATGGGAGGACTTATACGTTTTATGTATAGCTATCCATGAACCGCCTAGGTCCTAGTATGTATACAGTCTCCATTGGAGTTAGATGTTCTGGCTGACCACGTTTATGGTAAAATTCGCTATAGCGTGACGACAGGAAGGCAACCACAAAAGGAACTATAAACGACATTAGCGGTAGACTCGAAATCCGAGGACGAGAAGGAACGGAGCCAAAGAACAGAACATGTAACAACAATCCCATACACTGTGGCGTACCTCCCCCTTCGCAGACCTATACCGCTACTTGTGGCTTAGGGTCTGTAGGGTGAGGACGTACGGTTTAGATCTTCGGTTGACTGCCCTTGGAGAACTCATGTAAAGTCGGCACAGGTGCTTGTAGCCATGAAAAAAATCAGACTGGGATACACCAACAGTATGCCATAATATACCCGTATAGGCCCTGATATATCACGACAAACCCCCTACATTACAGAGGTTTACTTATGGACACCGTGTAAACAACCCGATACAACCCTGGGCATAGCCCCGCTGAGAAACCCAAAGTCAAGTAAAGCTAAACCCTAAGCCCTAAAACCAGAAATCCAGAAACCCTAAACCCCCAGAAACCCAGAACCCTAAACCCTAGAAACCCAGAAACCCAAAGTTCACGTAAAGCCGGCAGAGATGCTTCATCGCCATGACATTGATCAACGAACTCTCCAGCGCAATGTCCTGCATCCCCGCGACTGACTGGAAGTGAAGGAAATCGATGAAGGGCTGCTCAGGCTTCTTTAGGGGTTGATAAGTTCAAAGGTTTTTTTAGGCTTATTACAGTTTCCTGTGCTAGGTTAGATGAGGTGCTGACCGGTTTATTACGGTTTAGAAAATGGGACTAGGGCTTGCAGTAGGGTCTATTGGGATTCAAACAAAGTTCACCGAAGGATTTGATGGCATTGTAAGGGCTCGGCAAGCTGAGTGACAAAACCCTCACCTCACGGCGATTTATCAACAGCCAGACCCAACACATAAAAACGCAAAACAACATGCTTGACGACTTCCACCGCAAACTCGGCACCAAATCCGGGGTCCAAGACTCTGTTGAAGTCCCCAGCCTGCAACTAATACCCCCAAACCCTCTTCTAATCATTAAGGTCACGGGGGGCCCCGAGTTGCCTTAATCCCGATAATCTTGAGCTCTGACTAAACCTCTCCAGCCGAGTCCTACGGGCCTACAGCTACACCCCAAAACCCTCAACGCTAAAACCCTCAGCGCTAAGCCGCCGCTCCTGCGTGCCCTTTGGGTTCAAGTTCGGCGACCGGGCATCCGACCAGCCGACGCCAAGGCGCGGCGGGAGACCGGCCATGGTACTACGCTCTTCGTAGGGGAGGCCTGGGAAGGAAGGACGGCACACTGTCTTATACCAAATTGTGCGGTATAGACTGTCAACATGTTGCAGTTTACTGCAAATCTACTATAACGTACTATGAGTCTACTACAGAAGACTGCTAATATACTCAACTATACTAGATGTACGATAGCTTACCGTAAACAAACTGATGAACTATAGCTAACGATTCAGTAAACGATCATGAACCATACTACAAATACGCTGTAGCTCTACTGTGAACCTACACAGTGAATGTAGGATGCTATAGTGTAAACTCTATATACTCTATAATGCTACTGTACTAAGCTAGACCGTACTAAACATTATTGTAGTACTACCATACCGCGCTATACTAAACTTTAAGCTAGACCAGGCCAGACTAGTCTACACCATACTTGAAGGTTTAGGGAGTTAGGCTTTAAGAGAAAACAAAATAGCAAAATCAAAGAGCAACGCCTGAAAGGCTCGGATTCCTGAGATCGTGATTGGCTGCTGCAGGGTCTTGGATATAGGTTTCATTGGGCATGGAAATTCTAGGTCCTAAACTGTCTTGGAGAGGTCTGTGGTCATAGAGGTCATAGAATCTTCATTCAGCTTTGTAGATAGAGTCGGGTTTGGGGTGGTGTATTTTTTGGGGCAGGCCGGAGCCACTGCAGTTCAGCGATTCGGGGTTTTCAGGGCGAGGGTCTATAGGACTACGGACAAGGCTTCCGTGTGCAGCGTTCAGAGGTCCGGCTGTGGCTTTCCGAAATGCGTAAAGTCTCATAAACCCTTTCGAGCATTTAAACCTAAAGCGCTGAGCCGCAAACCTTTCACCCCCTTCTCCCTTTCGAACCCGAAGGTCTCTTGAGTCCTAAACCCCAAACTCAAGCCGTGACTAGAAGTTTCTCTTTGAGCCCTACGTGCCCTTCAAACAGCAGAACCGAAGGCTCTGAGCAGCTCGCTACAACTTTGCATGCCCAAAATCTCTGCTAGCTGTGCATCGCGTCCTAAACTTTACAACACCCTGAGCTCCCAAGCCTGAACCATTAAACCCTCAACCCATCTATCCCTGTGTATCAAAACCCATGCCAAGAATCCCACATTTCTTGTGTTCGAACTGGACAGAAATCGCCATACCCAACGAAAACCCACAGGCTGAACCCCTAAACCTTGGTTGAATAGTCAATCTCCCATTCCCATAGGGCTTAGACTTCAGGGTTTAGTTTGAATATTCAATCTCCGATTCCCGTTGGGTTTACAGTTTAGGGTTTAGGTTGAATGTTCAATCTCCGATTCCCATACCTAACGCCATCAGCGACCGGAACAGCCAAGAGTCCTGGTCCATGTGCTCTCGCTAGCCAGCCCACCTCCCGTCACAGAGTGCGGGCCAAAACGCCGGAGTGGGGGGATAACACAGGGGCCTCAGTGGTTAGAAAAGTGCTATGGGATATATGACGGTATAACATTTGTAATCAGGAACCCGGGAACCCCTTGAATAGTGTAGATAGCCGGTGTTCGTTTTAGAAGGCGTGTAAGGGTTGTCGCCGGCAGTCGCTGCACATCCAGCGTTGAATTTGTATGATTCATAGGGCCGAAGTCCAACCGATCGACCGCAAAACCAATGCGAGGCGTTGCTCGCGCTACAGCCCCTAAACCCGTCTCGGCTCTAGGTTTTAGCATTCATGTTCAGGTTTAGATGGTCTGCAGCACTCTACTCTACGGCACTCTAGAGAGGTTGGCAGAGTCTGATCAGGCCGGCTTTACAACACTGCAAAACAGTGAATGACGCAAACAGCCCAATACAAGGGCCCCTCAAAAAAGCAATTAACATGGAGTCCTGAGGCATACGATGGTAGAACTACATAGAAACTAGAGAGGAATCCAACAATTTTGTAGCCCATTACCGCCGAAGACAACCCCTTCAACAGGTCCTGAACTCTGAAGCCTCCAAAATCCTTCAACTGAACCGGACAAATCTCCGAAGCCTGATTATCTATAGAGCTTAAGAGAGCCTAACCACCCTAGATCTCAAGCCCTACAGCCCTGGACCCTAGAAGTTGAAGCCCTGCAGCCCTAAGCCCCCAAGCCCCACACACCCCGAATCCGCCTCGTGCTGCGCCGTCTCGGGCCAAAGAAGCTGTTCGGCCGGCACCCGGAGCTTGGAGGCCTGGATGGTTAGCGTTTACCTGGCACTCTAATTACCTACAGTTCTATGGGTTCTACCTACTAATTAAGGGGTAATGAATGCTAAACTGTATAAGAGTGTCAAAGATTGTTGTGTTTGTGCTCCTTTTTCCCCAGAATCAGGTAATCTGCCGCCGAAGAGGAGGGTTTAGGGTTTAGGCGCTTCCTTGACGCCTTACCAGGATCTGGGGGGTCTAGGGCTTGCGGGCTTCTAGGACTTACGGTTTAGGGCCCATTCTTGAGGTTTTTCGGTTTTTTAAAGTTTTGCAGCTTGGACCGGTGGACCACTTCCAGGATCAATACCCCCCTTCGGACAAGGATTAGAGTAGGAATGCACTAGGAGGAATTTCTTCTCCTGGCATTATCTTTTTCCCTTGCTCGCTCGGAATGTGTCACAAACCTGCCGGCAAACTGGTCTCAGGGCCTGGCTCCCGGCGAAGGCATTCCGCTCATTTCTGCTAGACAGAGATGGTTTGAGGGAGCCCGTATGCAAAACCTTCCGGCTGGTTGGTCTCAAGTACGGAAGAGCAAGCTAACTCGGCATGAAACCGTCAACTCCAAACCCTAAACCACTAAACCCTAAACCCTACAAGTCCCAAACCCCAAAATAAGGCTGAAGACACGTCGAAACCTACGATCCGATCACCAAACACCGTCACCCGGCAAAATGCAACAAACGACATCCAAAACGGAGCCCACCTTTCGCTACCATTACCAGCTTTTGAAGGATCTTACTATAAAGTCGAACATGCAATTTATAGGGACCCTACGAAAAAGCAGGTTTTGGTAGGTTAAGGTCAACATTCTAGAACCAAGACCCCAACATCCCCAAACCCGAAACCGTAAAACCTTCCCGGCGCTAAGGGTCCACATATCCAAATAGCAGTGTGTTACATACCGCACACCATTCGGAGAGTAGCTCTTGGAATCTACAACCCTCCGAGTTGCCTACTTGGAGCCTCAAAGCCCAAAACCCTAAACCCTATACAGGCCAGGGTGCTATGTCTGCGCGCAGGTAGCGCTCTGTAACGCTGTCGAGGCCTGTCGAGCGAACCGAGGCTTCTGGCCAAGACGGTTTAAGGTTTCAGGTTCAGCGCTTCAGGAATCAAGGTGCAGACAGGGCTTAAGTCTTTTGGTTTAGGCTTCAGAGCTTCGGATTGGTGAGGCTTTGCACGAAGAGCTTCATCAGGAACTCCAGAAATACTTCATTGATTCTTGGGGTAGGGCATACAAGGGTCAGGGTCTGGGATCTGCAGGGGTCTATGGCCCCAAGAAAGCACACAAGCAAAAACCTGAATTTTGGATGAACCGATTATACAACCCCCTTTATCATGAAGCCCCGATAAGGTCGGGATCTCTCTGCAAGATGCTTATGCTTATGTGGCTTTGGGGGTCCCTAATTTTGGGGCTTTCGTGGATTAGGCAAGCTAGGGGCTCCAGGGGGGATGATCAAGTGGAAGATGATGGAGCTTTAGGGTATACATTTCACGGTTTAGGGTGTAGGGTTCAGGGTCTACGCAACTGCAGAATGGCTTCGTTGCGTTTACAGTAAAAGAACTGGGCGTTCAGGCTTACTTGGCCGCACAGCCCCAGGCCGTACAAGGACCATCCTCCCTCCATCCTTGGACCGTAAATGCCCAGGAGCTCTTGACGTAAGCCAAGATAGACAAATCGACCGCAGAGCACACACGAAAGGCAGAAACAAAGACACAGCCCGAAGAGACACCCTATACACATACCTTCGGCCCGAAACCCTTAGCCCTAGACCCTAAACTCGAAACCCCTAAGGCTTGCGACGTTACGCATGCAGTGTGCACTCGACGAGTTCTGCCAGCATTGCCAAAAAAACTCGAAACCCAACATGTTGTCTTCCAGACCTTCATGAGCAGGCGATAAGAGGATTCCACAACGGGAACGACTGATTGAAATCGCCTTACCAGTCGACGCCGGGACACCCAAAATGTTGAATCCAATGACCACAACCTGGCACCCAAATACAGAGGCCTGAACTAGCAATTGTAATCCAAGCATCAAGACTGACAACGGCCCCTATGTAAGAACCTGCTTGAAACCTCTGTCAAGATAGACTCAAACCCGCTCAGTATAATTTCCCCCATACTACTCAGCAGCTCTCCGCAAACCCACAAATGCCTTGCACCGGTCCCGTCTGATCCGCTGGATCGATCTGCCCGGGCTTAAACCGCGAAGGCACCTGCGCAAGTTGCTTGCAAGTTAAATGCACGGAGTAAACCCTTAAAGACCTGAACCCTCTGAGCCTTAAACCCTAAAACCCTGCTTATCATGTTGGGTGTCTTCTCCGTGGAAATCAGGCTTCTGCACGTGTGTTGTGGTCTCTTGCAAGGCTTCTTAGGGTTGCTGTCTTGACTTTGGCTTTCCGTGTCAGGGTTTGTGGTTTAGGGTTTAGGGTTTAGGGTCCTTCCCTAAGGCTTGCCATGCAGGTCTACTTTCGACAGTAATCAAGGACAGCGAGGCAGGGCCATTTGTAAAAGACTCGAATACAAAGCTTCATGAAACACCCGGGGCTTCTGCAGAGTATGTATACGGGTGACTACGATTTGTAAAGCGTTTGCGAACTGTCGCCCCCGTGCTTGTTCTGGAGCAGTTATCAGCAGGCACTACAGGCATGTCACGAGGTTATTATTTAGATGCTAATAGTGGGGCTCATCATGCTGTACTTGAAGGATTGATGTAAGCCTCGAAGCTTTGAGGCTTTAGGCCTTTAGGCCTTTAGGCCTTTAGGACTTTAGACACCATTTACTGTTCAGGGGAAGGACAGGTTCTGTGTTGAAGGAGTTAGGTAGTCGCTTTTCGGGCTACTTGGGACAAGAAATGGAACAGCGGACTTGGAGCTGCATAGGCCATTTCTCGGCTACAACTGTTTCACATGCAGGTAATTACACGTGTAAAAGCATCGTGTATGTTCTACCTCCTGCTCTTCTTTGATGAGGTGCAAAACAGGAGAACCTTAATTACTTGCATACGTCAATGAAGTCATGAAGGTATCGTGTGCTGCCTGCATATGCAAACAGACAGTTCTCTACATACATGTACTTCTTTAACTTTGTATACGCAAGTACGCCTATCGCGCATACGCACTTCGCGGCTTTATGCCGGCGGCCCAGCCATGCACCAACACCCTGAGCTCTTACATGCGGCATCCTGCGAGAAAGCTCCATCTGAGGCACGTCAAAAACCAAACACCACCCCTAAAGTCTGAAGCCTAAACTCCTATGTAAATCTGAGGCACATCAAGAACACGAAGCGCACTCCGCACGGAGAAGTTCTCCTTCTTGTTGGGCTGAAAATGGCTCCTCTCCTGCAGAGAGATGCTCAATCTAATTCTATAACATAGGACCTTAAGAATTAGAATGGTGTTGTTATGTTAGCATGAAAATATACTTAGCTATAAAGAAGCCATAAGGAGATACCGTTGGCACTTATCCCGACCTCTACTCCACATTACCCTAAGCCCTGAAAGAGCAAGATGCCTGTAGGCTGCGCAACCCAGAGCCTGAAACCCCTAAGTCCCATCCTTTTTCAATCGAGAGTATAGGGTTTAGGGTTCAGGGTTCACCCAGCTCTCCCACAGTAATGCTGTTCTACAGCCCAGTAGTTTTCCGAATTTAATCAACCACCTATCCATCTTGGGACAAAATGCCAAGAAACGACTTGAAGGCCTGGAGAATAAACCCACGGTTCAAGGTTACGGCTTAGGGTCTAGGGTTTTAGGGTTTAGGACTTACAGGTGAAAGATGTTCAAAGTACGTAAACATGGAGGTTCTATAGGGGTATCAGGGTCTATAGATGAGTGGGCAAAGAGCTACTTGAGCATGTTGAGAAGTATTCGGTTCTTAGGTTCTTGGAAGGTTTAAGGGATCACTTAAGAGCCTCTTTAAGGGTTCCCTGAAGGGTTCAACTCAGTCGGGCCTCGGCTACAAGGTTAGAACACCCCCTGCTTATAAGTCCTTTATTGCTAGGATGCCTTTTAGTCTAGTCCTTAATGCGGGACGAAAGAGCATCTACATCAGAGCTCAGCACGGCGGATAAGACTGTGAATGAGTTATATACCCATAGGCTCCATTGTAGTTCCTTCTTGGGGTTTACATTGAGAATCCCATAAGGTACTCCCAAAAAGGAACAACAATGGAGCCTATGGGTGGACCACAGGCTAGGGGCATAAGGCCCCTCGTAGACACCTGCGGCAAAACCCCGGAAGTCTGAGAGGACTACTCTGGGCTGGACTCGGTTCGATTTAGGGCCTTAGGGCTCCAGGCTTTGAAGCGAGGCTGAAGGTTTCAGAGTTTAGGCTCTAGGCTTTTGGACTTTCGGGTCAGCAAACAGGTGCGTAAGGATCAATGCCTCTTCCCTTCTTGGATTGAGAGTTCCAGCGCTCAAGAAGACCTAAACCATCGAAAGACAAAAACCGTAAATCCGAAAAAAACACTATACGACGTAAAAGCGAACGAAAGCCTGATTACATCCCTTCTACATGCCACACCCGAGTCCCCATAACCGGTCCGTGGCGATGCGCTGACGCCACAGAAACTGGCCCTTGCTCGTGGTGATGTCATTGGGGTTGTCATCGACCATGGCTAAGAGAGGGAAATTAGGCTGTGACCAACCGGACTCGGCGGGTTAGGGATCCAAGTTTAGGGCTGGGATTTCGGGCCCGGGCTTGGGGTTAGGGGTGAGAGAGTTCTTGGTTCAGGGACTGAGAGTTTGAAGTATAACGTCAGACTCGAGCCCTACACCGTAAACTCCAACGACAGAAATCTCTCTGAGCCAGGACGAAGAAGGGGGTTTAGGTGCGTGGGTCTTAGAGGGTTTGGGGGGTTAAGGCTCAAAGGCTTAAGGGTATGGCTATGTGGGTGTCGGCCGTTGGGTTTGGAGTCTTGGAGAGCCTGAAGTCTGAGCCAGACCCGATATAAACCTTAAACCCCAACGGTAGCAGTAGCAGTAGTAGTAGGAGTGGGAGTGGGAGTGGGAGTAGGAGTAGGAGTAGGAGTAGTAGGAGCAGGAGTAGGAGTATATAGGAGAGTAGGAGTAGGAGTAAGAGTGGTAGTTCTGGTGGTACTGGTGGAGTAGTAGTAGTAGTAGTAGTAGTAGTAGTAGTAGTAGCAGTAGTAGCAGTAGTAGTACCAGTACTAGTAGGTGTATGTGTAGGTGCAGGTGGAGATGGTGCAGTTGGAGTAGGTGAAGGGTATAGGTGCAAGTGGTGTAGGTAGGTGGTGTGGGACGAAGAAGAGTAGGAGTGGGAGTGGGAGCAGGGGTAGTAGTAGGAGGAGTGGTAGCGCAGCCTGAGGTGGCTACCTTTGTAGTCGCTGGTGACTCGGGCGACGCTATGTAAAAAAAGCGTACTATCAGAAACAACAGCACCTAATCGAAATTGTAGGTCTACATGCTTCATTCAAGGACCCCACCCCAACATATACCTGCATTCCCACGGATAAACCCCCAATAGCAGCTTGAAGCTAAGAGTTTGGGAGCACGTGTATGGAAGCTAGGGCTGACATAGTTTCTGATACGACACCTAGGTTGGCCCTGTAAAGCCTCTGAAAACATCTGGTAATCCAGATCCTCTTAAGCCCAGTAAGGGAATACGTAACATGTCCCAGAGGCCTAGCAAAAAACATAACAAACATTGTACCTTTCAACTTCAAATTGTAGCTCGGATTGCCTTCCACCTAGCCAGAGCAAACAGATGGATCTTCCCAGTGTCTCAGGATAAAAGCACCAATCATCAACAAGTAGACACCCAAGCCCTAACCCCCGAAGCCGTAATTAAAACTCAAAAGCCCTGAAACTCAAATCTCAAACCCTCGAGCTCTAATATGTGGGCTAGAATACTCAGAGATTGGTTTGAAACTATAGTGCAATTATAAAAAGGAAGCCCCAGTAGCAACCTTGGTAACCATGTGGGGCTCTAGACCTGGGGATTCCTTGACCTAAACCTTCTTGCAAAGGAATTTCATTCAAGCTACCACACTCATCAGCAAACCCGACTATCTACCGCAGATCCCCGTTATGGTCGCTTTCTTAAACTAAGTTCCAAATCAAGAACACAGAAACTTAGAAGGTTAAAGGTTACCAACTCCGTTGCCAAAGAAATACGGGCCGACCGCAGCTTAAGTTATTGAGCAAAATTTCCAAATCCCTCAAACCCTAAACCCTAAACCCTAAACCCTAAACCCCGTAAGGCCGACCAGGTCCTTCATGGGCACAGCAGGATGTTGGATGGTGCGCGTGAACGCCGGGACGCGGCTCCTTGACAAAGCAAGTCATCCCCCCTCTGCAAATGTTTAGGGTTTGGGGTTTCGGGTGGAATTTTGGGTTTAGGGTTTGGGGATTAGGGTATCTTGGGTTTAGGGCTTTTGGGGTCTAGGGTTTAGGGTTCAGGTCTCCTGAAGAAGTTCCTGAAGGTAGTATAGGATAGCTCAACCCCACACCCTGAGCCCTAAGCCTAAGTATAGGATGTAGCGGCGTAGCGGATGCGGGGCAAACAAAAGGTTGAGGGTGTAGGGCACCGCCTTTCCCAATGTTCTTAGTCAGACAGGAGATAAATTTCGAGAAGCATAACTGAGAATCCAAGGAACACTGACAAGAAGGAGATATCACGATGAAGCGAATACAAATGTTTTTATCTGTCAAAAGGTGGCTTTTGATTTGCTGCCAAACGGCGAACCTCAAGGTGCAGGGCTTCGGATGTAGGATCACCCCACCACTACCCAGACCCCCAAAAAAGATCCAACAAACGAGGTCTCCCCGNNCCCCCCCCCCCCCCCCAACAAGAGTAGCCTACAGGGTCGGATCTTGCTTCGGGTGTCTACACTAGCTCGCGGCTCTATCCGCAGCTCACAGATGAAGCCGGAAGCCTACAGCAACACCCAACGTAACCCTCGACTCCTGGTCCTGAAACAGTCCCAAACACCGAGGTCCACATTCCTGAAACCAAGCTTTACAAAACTACCCGAAGATCCCGAAACCTTCGAGACTCCAGGCCCGAAAGACATGAACAGGTCATATGGAAGCGTTCAAGGTTTAGGGTTTAGGG